ATCACCACCATCATCACCACCACCATCACCATCACCACCACCATCACCACCACCACCACCACCATCACCACCACCACCACCATCACCACCACCATCACCACCATCACCACCATCACCACCATCACTATCACCACCATCACCATCACCACCACCATCACCACCACCACCACCACCATCACCACCACCACCATCACCACCACCACCACCACCACCATCACCACCACCATTACCACCACCACCACCATCACCACCACCACCATCACCACCACCATTACCACCACCACCATCACCACCACCACCATCACCACCACCATCACCACCATCACCACCACCACCATCACCACCACCACCACCATCACTATCACCACCATCACCATCACCACCACCATCACCACCACCACCACCACCACCATCACCACCACCACCATCACCACCATCACCACCACCACCACCACCATCACCACCATCACCACCACCACCATCACCATCACCACCATCACTATCACCACCATCACCATCACCACCACCATCACCACCACCACCACCACCATCACCACCACCACCATCACCACCATCACCACCACCACCATCACCACCACCATCATCACCACCATCACCACCATCACCACCACCACCATCACCACCACCATTACCACCACCACCACCACCATCACCACCACCACCATCACCACCACCATTACCACCACCACCACCATCACCACCACCACCATCACCACCACCACCACCACCATCACCACCACCACCATCACCACCATCACCATCACCACCATCATCATCACCACCATCACCACCACCATCACCACCACCACCACCACCACCATCACCACCATCACCACCACCACCACCATCACCACCATCACCACCACCATCACCACCATCACCACCATCACCACCATCACCATCACCACCATCATCATCACCACCATCACCACCACCACCATCACCACCACCACCATCACCACCACCATCACCACCACCATCACCACCATCACCACCACCATCACCACCATCACCACCATCACCATCACCACCATCATCATCACCACCACCACCACCATCACCACCACCATCACCACCACCATCATCTCCATCTCCATCTGTCACCTTCTTGCAGCAGGAGGCTGTAGACTGAAAGCAACACAGAGAGAGAGAATCGAGAAGTTAGAAACATCCCTGGTGAGTATCTGGTGAGTATCTGGTGAGGAGGTGAGTGAGTAGCTGGTGAGGAGGTGAGTAGCTGGTGAGGAGGTGAGTGAGTAGCTGGTGAGGATATGGTGAGTAGCTGGTGAGTAGCTGGTGAGTGAGTAGCTGGTGAGTAGCTGGTGAGTAGCTGGTGAGTGAGTAGCTGGTGAGTAGCTGGTGAGTAGCTGGTGAGTGAGTAGCTGGTGAGTAGCTGGTGAGTAGCTGGTGAGTGAGTAGCTGGTGAGTAGCTGGTGAGTAGCTGGTGAGGATCTGGTGAGTATCTGGTGAGTAGCTGGTGAGTGAGTAGCTGGTGAGTAGCTGGTGAGTGAGTAGCTGGTGAGTAGCTCGTGAGTAGCTGGTGAGTAGCTGGTGAGTAGCTGGTGAGTGAGTAGCTGGTGAGTATCTGGTGAGTATCTGGTGAGTAGCTGGTGAGTGGGTAGCTGGTGAGTATCTGGTGAATATCTGGTGAGTGACTAGCTGGTGAGGATCTGGTGAGTATCTGGTGAGTATCTGGTGAGTAGCTGGTGAGTATCTGGTGAGTAGCTGGTGAGTAGCTGGTGAGTTAGTAGCTGGTGAGTGAGTAGCTGGTGAGTAGCTGGTGAGTAGCTGGTGAATATCTGGTGAGTAGCTGGTGAGTAGCTGGTGAGTGAGTAGCTGGTGACTAGCTGATGAATATCTGGTGAGTAGCTGGTGAGTAGCTGGTGAGTAGCTGGTGAGTGAGTAGCTGGTGAGTAGCTGGTGAGTATCTGGTGAGTATCTGGTGACTAGCTGATGAATATCTGGTGAGTATCTGGTGAGTAGCTGGTGAGTAGCTGGTGAGTATCTGGTGAGTGAGTGGCTGGTGAGAATCTGGTGAGTATCTGGTGAGTATCTGGTGAGTATCTGGTGAGTAGCTGGTGAGTAGCTGGTGAGTGAGTAGCTGGTGAGTGAGTAGCTGGTGAGTAGCTGGTGAGTAGCTGGTGAGTATCTGGTGAGTAGCTGGTGAGTGAGTATCTGGTGAGTATCTGGTGAGTAGCTGGTGAGTGAGTAGCTGGTGAGTAGCTGGTGAGTAGCTGGTGAGTAGCTGGTGAGTATCTGGTGAGTAGCTGGTGAGTGAGTATCTGGTGAGTAGCTGGTGAGTAGCTGGTGAATAGCTGGTGAGTGAGTAGCTGGTGAGTATCTGGTGAGTATCTGGTGAGTGAGTAGCTGGTGAGTGAGTAGCTGGTGAGTATCTGGTGAGTAGCTGGTGAGTAGCTGGTGAGTAGCTGGTGAGTGAGTAGCTGGTGAGTGAGTAGCTGGTGAGTAGCTGGTGAGTATCGGTGAGTAGCTGGTGAGTATCTGGTGAGTAGCTGGTGAGTATCTGGTGAGTAGCTGGTGAGTAGCTGGTGAGTGAGTAGCTGGTGAGTAGCTGGTGAGTAGCTGGTGAGTATCTGGTGAGTATCTGGTGAGTGAGTGGCTGGTGAGTATCTGGTGAGTATCTGGTGAGTAGCTGGTGAGTATCTGGTGAGTATCTGGTGAGTAGCTGGAGAGTAGCTGGTGAGTGAGTAGCTGGTGAGTAGCTGGTGAGTAGCTGGTGAGTGAGTAGCTGGTGAGTAGCTGGTGAGTGAGTAGCTGGTGAGTAGCTGGTGAGTAGCTGGTGAGTATCTGGTGAGTAGCTGGTGAGTAGCTGGTGAGTGAGTAGCTGGTGAGTAGCTGGTGAGTAGCTGGTGAGTGAGTAGCTGGTGAGTAGCTGGTGAGTAGCTGGTGAGTGAGTAGCTGGTGAGTAGCTGGTGAGTATCTGGTGAGTAGCTGGTGAGTATCTGGTGAGTAGCTGGTGAGTATCTGGTGAGTAGCTGGTGAGTAGCTGGTGAGTAGCTGGTGAGTGAGTAGCTGGTGAGTGAGTAGCTGGTCAGTATCTGGTGAGTAGCTGGTGAGTAGCTGGTGAGTGAGTAGCTGGTGAGTAGCTGGTGAGTATCTGGTGAGTATCTGGTGAGTGAGTGGCTGGTGAGTATCTGGTGAGTGAGTGGCTGGTGAGTATCTGGTGAGTATCTGGTGAGTAGCTGGTGAGTATCTGTTGAATATCTGGTGAGTATCTGGTGAGTATCTGGTGAGTATCTGGTGAGTGAGTATCTGGTGAGTATCTGGTGAGTATCTGGTGACTAGCTGATGAATATCTGGTGAGTATCTGGTGAGTAGCTGGTGAGTAGCTGGTGAGTAGCTGGTGAGTATCTGGTGAGTAGCTGGTGAGTATCTGGTGAGTGAGTATCTGGTGAGTAGCTGGTGAGTATCTGGTGAGTATCTGGTGACTAGCTGATGAATATCTGGTGAGTATCTGGTGAGTAGCTGGTGAGTAGCTGGTGAGTAGCTGGTGAGTATCTGGTGAGTATCTGGTGACTAGCTGATGAATATCTGGTGAGTATCTGGTGAGTAGCTGGTGAGTAGCTGGTGAGTAGCTGGTGAGTATCTGGTGAGTAGCTGGTGAGTAGCTGGTGAGTGAGTAGCTGGTGAGTATCTGGTGAGTATCTGGTGAGTGAGTGGCTGGTGAGTATCTGGTGAGTGAGTGGCTGGTGAGTATCTGGTGAGTATCTGGTGAGTAGCTGGTGAGTATCTGTTGAGTATCTGGTGAGTATCTGGTGAGTAGCTGGTGAGTAGCTGGTGAGTATCTGGTGAGTATCTGTTGAATATCTGGTGAGTATCTGGTGAGTATCTGGTGAGTATCTGGTGAGTAGCTGGTGAGTATCTGGTGAGTATCTGGTGAGTATCTGGTGAGTAGCTGGTGAGTATCTGGTGAGTAGCTGGTGAGTATCTGGTGAGTATCTGGTGAGTATCTGGTGAGTAGCTGGTGAGTATCTGGTGAGTATCTGGTGAGTAGCTGGTGAGTATCTGGTGAGTAGCTGGTGAGTATCTGGTGAGTATCTGGTGAGTAGCTGGTGAGTAGCTGGTGAGTATCTGGTGAGTAGCTGGTGAGTATCAGGTGAATATCTGGTGAGTATCTGGTGAGTATCTGGTGAGTATCTGGTGAGTATCTGGTGAGTAGCTGGTGAGTATCTGGTGAGTAGCTGGTGAGTATCTGTTGAATATCTGGTGACTAGCTGGTGAGTGAGTGGCTGGTGAGTATCTGGTGAGTGAGTGGCTGGTGAGTATCTGGTGAGTATCTGGTGAGTATCTGGTGAGTATCTGGTGAGTAGCTGGTGAGTATCTGGTGAGTATCTGGTGAGTGCTCACCACCCTCGCTCCGAGCGGACTCAACGTAGATGCTGGTCACTTCAGCGTCCGTTCCGACGGAGTTTTGTGCGATGCACTCATAGACAGCTGAATCGTCTCGTCGGACAGCGTAGAGGGACACCACGTGGCCTGCATCTAGACAGACAGACACTCAGTCAGACACTCACTCACTCAAACAGACACTCCCTCACTCACTCAGACACTCACTCACTCAGACACTCACTCACTCACTCAGACACTCACTCACTCACTCTGACACTCACTCATAGACAGCTGAATCGTCTCGTCGGACAGCGTAGAGGGACACCACGTGGCCTGCATCTAGACAGACAGACACTCAGTCAGACACTCACTCACTCAAACAGACACTCCCTCACTCACTCAGACACTCACTCACTCAGACACTCACTCACTCACTCAGACACTCACTCACTCACTCTGACACTCACTCATAGACAGCTGAATCGTCTCGTCGGACAGCGTAGAGGGACACCACGTGGCCTGCATCTAGACAGACAGACACTCAGTCAGACACTCACTCACTCAAACAGACACTCCCTCACTCACTCAGACACTCACTCACTCAGACACTCACTCACTCACTCAGACACTCACTCACTCACTCTGACACTCACTCATAGACAGCTGAATCGTCTCGTCGGACAGCGTAGAGGGACACCACGTGGCCTGCATCTAGACAGACAGACACTCAGTCAGACACTCACTCACTCAAACAGACACTCCCTCACTCACTCAGACACTCACTCACTCAGACACTCACTCACTCACTCAGACACTCACTCACTCACTCTGACACTCACTCATAGACAGCTGAATCGTCTTGTCGGACAGAGTAGAGGGACACCACGTGGCCTGCATCTACACAGACACAGACACTCACTCAGACACTCACTCACTCAGACACTCACTCACTCACTCAGACACTCACTCATAGACAGCTGAATCGTCTTGTCGGACAGCGTAGAGGGACACCACGTGGCCTGCATCTAGACAGACAGACACTCAGTCAGACACTCACTCACTCAAACAGACACTCCCTCACTCACTCAGACACTCACTCACTCAGACACTCACTCACTCACTCAGACTCTCACTCACTCACTCTGACACTCACTCATAGACAGCTGAATCGTCTCGTCGGACAGCGTAGAGGGACACCACGTGGCCTGCATCTACACAGACACAGACACTCACTCACTCACTCAGACACTCACTCACTCAGACACTCACTCACTCACTCAGACACTCACTCATAGACAGCTGAATCGTCTCGTCGGACAGCGTAGAGGGACACCACGTGGCCTGCATCTACACAGACACAGACACTCACTCACTCACTCAGACACTCACTCACTCAGACACTCACTCACTCACTCAGACACTCACTCATAGACAGCTGAATCGTCTCGTCGGACAGCGTAGAGGGACACCACGTGGCCTGCATCTAGACAGACAGACACTCAGTCAGACAATCACTCACTCAAACAGACACTCCCTCACTCACTCAGACACTCACTCACTCAGACACTCACTCACTCACTCAGACACTCACTCACTCACTCTGACACTCACTCATAGACAGCTGAATCGTCTTGTCGGACAGAGTAGAGGGACACCACGTGGCCTGCATCTAGACAGACAGACACTCACTCAGACACTCACTCACTCAAACAGACACTCACTCAGACACTCACTCATAGACAGCTGAATCGTCTCGTCGGACAGCGTAGAGGGACACCACGTGGCCTGCATCTAGACAGACAGACACTCAGTCAGACACTCACTCACTCAAACAGACACTCCCTCACTCACTCAGACACTCACTCACTCAGACACTCACTCACTCACTCAGACACTCACTCACTCACTCTGACACTCACTCATAGACAGCTGAATCGTCTTGTCGGACAGAGTAGAGGGACACCACGTGGCCTGCATCTACACAGACACAGACACTCACTCAGACACTCACTCACTCAGACACTCACTCACTTACTCAAACACTCAGTCACTCACTCAGACACTCACTCACTCATTCAGACACTCATTCACTCACTCAGACACTCACTCACTCAGACACTCACTCACTCACTCAGACACTCACTCACTCACTCAGACACTCACTCATAGACAGCTGAATCGTCTTGTCGGACAGAGTAGAGGGACACCACGTGGCCTGCATCTACACAGACACTCACTCACTCAGACACTCACTCACTCACTCAGACACTCACTCACTCACTCAGACACTCACTCATAGACAGCTGAATCGTCTTGTCGGACAGCGTAGAGGGACATCACGTGGCCTGCATCTACACAGACAGACACTCACTCAGACACTCACTCACTCACTCAGACACTCATTCACTCACTCAGACACTCCCTCATAGACAGCTGAATCGTCTTGTCGGACAGAGTAGAGGGACACCACGTGGCCTGCATCTACACAGACACAGACACTCACTCAGACACTCACTCACTCACTCAGCCACTCACTCACTCATACACTCACTCACACAGACACTCATTCAGACACTCAGACACTCACTCACTCACTCAGACACTCACTCACTCACTCAGACACTCACTCACTCAGACACTCACTCATAGACAGCTGAATCGTCTTGTCGGACAGAGTAGAGGGACACCACGTGGCCTGCATCTACACACACAGACAGACACTCACTCAGACACTCACTCACTCACTCAGACACTCACTCACTCACTCAGACACTCACTCACTCACTCAGACACTCACTCACTCACTCAGACACTCACTCATAGACAGCTGAATCGTCTTGTCGGACAGAGTAGAGGGACACCACGTGGCCTGCATCTACACACACACAGACACTCACTCACTCAGACACTCACTCACTCAGACACTCACTCACTCACTCAGACACTCACTCACTCAGACACTCATTCACTCACTCAGACACTCACTCATAGACAGCTGGATCGTCTTGTCGGACAGAGTAGAGGGACACCACGTGGCCTGCATCTACACAGACACAGACACTCACTCAGACACTCACTCACTCAGACACTCACTCACTCACTCAGACACTCACTCACTCAGACACTCACTCACTCAGACACTCACTCACTCACTCAGACACTCACTCACTCACTCAGACACTCACTCACTCACTCAGACGCTCACTCACTCACTCAGACACTCACTCATAGACAGCTGAATCGTCTTGTCGGACAGAGTACAGGGACACCACGTGGCCTGCATCTACACACTCAGACACTCACTCACTCAGACACTCAGACACTCACTCACTCACTCAGTGAGTGAGTGAGTGAGTGTCTGAGTGAGTGAGTGAGTGTCTGAGTGAGTGTCTGAGTGAGTGACTGAGTGTTTGAGTAAGTGAGTGAGTGTCTGAGTGAGTGTCTGAGTGTCTAAGTGCGTGTCTGAGTGAGTGAGTGTCTGAGTGCGTGAGTGTATGAGTGAGTAAGTGTCTGAGTGAGTGTCTGAGTGAGTGAGTGTCTGAGTGAGTGAGTGTCTGAGTGAGTGTCTGAGTGTCTGAGTGAGTGTCTGAGTGAGTGAGTGTCTGAGTGAGTGTCTGAGTGTCTGAGTGAGTGTCTGAGTGAGTGAGTGTCTGAGTGAGTGAGTGTCTGAGTGAGTGAGCGTCTGAGTGATTGAGTGTCTGAGTGAGTGAGTGTCTGAGTGTCTGTTTGAGTGTCTGAGTGAGTGAGTGTCTGAGTGAGTGTCTGAGTGAGTCAGTGAGTGATATTCACCGTCTATCGATATCCGCCCGGATTCCTCTGTGAGCGGTTTTCCGTTCTTGAGCCAGCTGATGGTTGGTGTTGGGATGCCCTCCGCCACACAGCGCAGCCAGGCTGGCTGTCCTGGCTGCACCAGCTGACTCTCTGGGAAGACTCTGATCACGGGGGGTGCTGTAGGAGGACGTTAGAGAGAAGCTCACTCACTCAGACACTCACTCACTCACTCAGACACTCACTCACTCAGACACTCACTCACTCAGACACTCACTCACTCAGACACTGAGACACTCACTCACTCACTCAGACACTCACTCACTCAGACACTCACTCACTCACTCAGACACTCACTAACTCACCCACTCACTCACCCACTCAGACACTCACTCAGACACTCACTAACTCACCCACTCACTCACCCTCTCAGACACTCACTCAAACACTCACTCACCCACTCAGACACTCACTAACTCACCCACTCACTCACCCACTCAGACACTCACTCAGACACTCACTAACTCACCCACTCACTCACCCTCTCAGACACTCACTCAGACACTCACTCACCCACTCAGACACTCACTCACTCACTCAGACACTCACTAACTCACCCACTCACTCACCCACTCAGACACTCACTCAGACACTCACTCACCCACTCAGACACTCACTCACTCACTCAGACACTCACTAACTCACCCACTCACTCACCCACTCAGACACTCACTCAGACACTCACTCACCCACCCACTCACCCACTCACCCAGCACTGTAACTTGGTGAGTTTGTCTTAGGCCAGGAGGCTGCCCCGTCACGTGACACCAGTACTTGCCGATGTGATTGGTCGTCGCGCGGGGGATGTACAGCGAATCGGAGTCGCCGTAAGACTACGGGAGCGAAGGGGGGTCGACCAATCAGGAGCAAGGATGGAAGTGTGTGTGTCTGTGCGTTTCTAAAATATCTCATTAATTAAATATGTAACTAATAAGCTTGTGCCAGAGGCCCCGGGGGGACAGGCGTCTATGACGTCTCCTGGCCAAACCCAATTTGGCGGAGCCAGGAGATTGAATATCCACCCTCGGGGCTCCTCCAGAAACAACGAAAAGCCATTTCGCGTGGCCACGTGGAATGTTCGAATGCTCACTGCGGAGGAGAGGCTGCCACTCCTCTGTCGGGAGCTGGACCGGTACCGCCTGGATCTCTGTGGCATTCAGGAGGTCCGGTGGACCGGTTCTGGCTCCTGCTACCATGAGGGGTGGACAGTCCTCTACTCGGGGCAGCACACTGCCAAACAACAGGGTGTGGCTCTTCTTTTGAACATAATAATGAAGGGGGCGTGGGAGCGTGGCGGTGAGGTGTGGGAAGCTGTAAGCCCCAGGCTACTTTGGGCTCGTCTTCCCATCGACCGGAGGCGAGGAGTGGTGGTCGTGGTTACTTATGCCCCCACCGAAGACGGACATCCGTGGAGGAATGCAGGCAAAGCCGATGAGTCAGATGCCTTCTATGACCTCCTGTCACAGGTGCTGGCTAAAGTGGCCCCTCGGGATAAAGTCATCTTGTTGGGTGACTTCAATGTCCGAGTTGGTCATAATGCTGGCACCTGGTCTGGAGTGATTGGAAGGCATGGGCAAGATCAGCTCAATAACATCAGTAGGAGGCTGCTAGATTTTTGTGCAGCCCATGGGCTTGTAATTACCAACACGCTGTTCCGGCATCGGCGCATCCACACAACATCACGGATGCACGCCGGGTCCAAGCAAGAACATCTGCTGGACTACATAGTGACGGACCAGCGGATGCGAGCCCATGTCCTTGACACCAGGACCTACCATGGAGCTGATCTGCCCTCTGACCATCGACTTGTCATCTGTAAGATGCGCCTGCCATTCTTCCACTCCGGTGGTGGGTGTACACCCAGGACCCCTTTCCTACCTAAAGTGGCCTGGTCTCAGTTATCTGATGAAAATTGCGAGCGAGAATTTCATCATCGCCTGCGGCTGGGGTTGGCATCGTCCCCCACTCCTCCTGATGTCGAGGGTAAATGGACGAGGTTTAGGACTGTGACTCATGCAGCTGCAATGGCTGCTTTGGGTACGCGGTCCAGACCTCCCCAGAGGCCCTGGCTGATAGGAAGGTTGAGAAAAAGCGACAGGCCTACTCTCATGCGGTCAAGCGATGGCTCCCTATTGCTCAACCACGTTATGTATGCCGATGATCTGGTAATAGCTGCTCATTCAGAGGAGGAGTTGGAGACGCTGCTACTGAGACTGGAGTGTGCCACTAAGAGATGGGGCCTTACCATCAGCCCCACCAAAACTAAGCACCTGCCTGGGTATTTTGTACCATCGGACACTCCACCCACGCAACTCCCAATCGGTGATGGGGCAGTTGTGGAGAGAGTGGAGAGTTTACCATACCTGGGCAGTGTGCTTATGACTGGCTCCAGTTTAACAGCAGAGGTCTCACTCCGAATCAGTCGAGCGGCAATATCTTTTCATCGGTTGCGTAACGCTGTGTGGAAGCTACCTGGTCTGTCACACCGCACTAAGCTTCAGGTCTTCTCGGCCACCGTCATTCCCTCCCTTCTCTACGCTTGCGAAACGTGGATCCCCCTAGTGGAGCATCTTCGCCGGTTAGAAACATTTAGGCTGGCCTGCCTACGATCCATCCTGGGTTTAACCAGGCTGGATTATGTGAGGAGCCCATAAATCCTTGAAAGATCTGGACAAAGTCCCATCGGTGAGCTCCTCCGGCAGGCAAGACTGCGTTGGCTGGGTCATGTAGCCCGCATGCCCAGCCACCGCATGCCAAAACAGCTTTTGTTCGGACGGATTGAGGGGGCTAAATGGGCGCGGCACGGGCTAGAGAAGAGATGGAGTGACGTGGTACAGGAGGACGTGGAGCTGAGTGGACTTGCCGATGACTGGTACCAGCGGTGTCAAGATCGGCCTCTGTGGAGGAGGCTCGTGATTGTCTAAGTGTGTTGTCTGTGTTTGTCTATGTGTGTGTGTCTGTGTGTGTGTCTGTCTGTGTGTGTGTCTGTGTGTGTGTCTAAGTGAGTTGTCTAAGTGAGTTGTCTAAGTGAGTTGTCTGTGTGTGTGTCTGAGTGTGTGTCTAAGTGAGTTGTCTAAGTGAGTTGTCTGTGTGTGTGTCTGTGTGTGTGTCTGTGTGTGTGTCTAAGTGAGTTGTCTGTGTGTGTGTCTGTGTGTCTGTGTGTGTGTCTAAGTGAGTTGTCTAAGTGAGTTGTCTATGTGCGTGTGTCTGTGTGTGTGTCTGTGTGTGTGTCTATGTGTGTGTCTGTGTGTGTGTCTAAGTGAGGTGTCTAAGTGAGTTGTCTGTGTGTGTGTCTGTGTGTGTCTAAGTGAGTTGTCTCTGTGCGAGAGTTTCTCACCGCAATGTCTCCAGCGGCTGTCCCAGCCTCTCCAGGCAGCGTCTCAGCTCCTCGTCCCCACTGTACGGACCCTAACACACACACAGGTACAGTGTGGTAGTACTAGTGAGTACTAGATAGCACTAACTAGTACTCACTAGTACTAGTTAGTACTAGTTAGCACTAGTAGGTACTAACTAGTACTCACTAATACTAGTTAGTAGGTACTCTGTCTCAGCTGGAACAGAATCCCATCCCCGCTACAACAACAACAATAAGTTATATACGTGGTGATGGGTAAGCAGGTGGGATCTCAGCTAATACAAGACGTTTTTATATACGTGGTGATGTACAAGTAGGTGGGGTCTCAGCTACTACAACAAGACGTTATTATATACGTGGTGATGTACAAGCAGGCGGGGTCTCAGCTACTACTACAAGACGTTATTATATACGTGGTGATGTACAAGCAGGCGGGGTCTCAGCTACAACAACAACAAGACGTTATTATATACGTGGTGATGTACAAGCAGGCGGGGTCTCAGCTACTACTACAACAAGACGTTATTATATACATGGTGATGTACAAGCAGGCGGGGTCTCAGCTACTACTACAACAAGACGTTATTATATACGTGGTGATGTACAAGCAGGCGGGGTCTCAGCTACAACAACAAGATGTTATTATATACGTGGTGATGTACAAGTAGGCGGGGTCTCAGCTACTACAACAACAAGACGTTATTATATACGTGGTGATGTACAAGTAGGCGGGGTCTCAGCTACTACAACAAGACGTTATTATATACGTGGTGATGTACAAGTAGGCGGGGTCTCAGCTACTACAACAACAAGACGTTATTATATACGTGGTGATGTACAAGCAGGCGGGGGTCTCAGCTACTACAACAAGACGTTATTATATACGTGGTGATGTACAAGCAGGCGGGGTCTCAGCTACTACAACAAGACGTTATTATATACGTGGTGATGTACAAGCAGGCGGGGTCTCAGCTACTACAACAAGACGTTATTATATACGTGGTGATGTACAAGCAGGCGGGGTCTCAGCTACTACAACAACAAGACGTTATTATATACGTGGTGATGTACAAGCAGGCGGGGTGTCAGCTACTACTACAAGACGTTATTATATACGTGGTGATGTACAAGCAGGCGGGGTCTCGGCTACTACTACAACAAGACGTTATTATATACGTGGTGATGTACAAGCAGGCGGGGTCTCAGCTACTACAACAACAAGACGTTATTATATACGTGGTGATGTACAAGCAGGCGGGGTCTCAGCTACTACAACAAGACGTTATTATATACGTGGTGATGTACAAGTAGGCGGGGTCTCAGCTACTACAACAACAAGACGTTATTATATACGTGGTGATGTACAAGCAGGCGGGGTCTCAGCTACTACTACAAGACGTTATTATATACGTGGTGATGTACAAGCAGGCGGGGTCTCAGCTACTACAACAACAAGACGTTATTATATACGTGGTGATGTACAAGTAGGCGGGGTCTCAGCTACTACTACAAGACGTTATTATATACGTGGTGATGTACAAGCAGGCGGGGTCTCGGCTACTACTACAACAAGACGTTATTATATACGTGGTGATGTACAAGCAGGCGGGGTCTCAGCTACAACAACAAGATGTTATTATATACGTGGTGATGTACAAGTAAGCGGGGTCTCAGCTACTACAACAACAAGACGTTATTATATACGTGGTGATGTACAAGTAGGCGGGGTCTCAGCTACTACAACAAGACGTTATTATATACGTGGTGATGTACAAGTAGGCGGGGTCTCAGCTACTACAACAACAAGACGTTATTATATACGTGGTGATGTACAAGCAGGCGGGGTCTCAGCTACTACTACAAGACGTTATTATATACGTGATGATGTACAAGCAGGCGGGGTCTCAGCTACTACTACAACAAGACGTTATTATATACGTGGTGATGTACAAGCAGGCGGGGTCTCAGCTACTACTACAAGATGTTATTATATACGTGGTGATGTACAAGCAGGCGGGGTCTCGGCTACTACTACAACAAGACGTTATTATATACGTGGTGATGTACAAGCAGGCGGGGTCTCAGCTACTACAACAAGACGTTATTATATACGTGGTGATGAACATGCGGGCGGGGTCTCAGCTACTACAACAAGACGTTATTATATACGTGGTGATGCACAAGCAGGCGGGGTCTCAGCTACTACAACAAGACGTTATTATATACGTGGTGATGTACAAGCAGGCGAGGTCTCAGCTACTACTACAACAAGACGTTATTATATACGTGGTGATGTACAGGCAGGCGGGGTCTCAGCTACTAGAACAACAAGACGTTATTATATACGTGGTGATGTACAAGCAGGCGGGGTCTCAGCTACAACAACAAGATGTTATTATATACGCGGTGATGTACAAGCAGGCGATGGACACGTGAGCATGAGTGTAATCCAATGGACATGTGAACATGAGAGTGTAATCTAGTACCAGTACTACTACCACTAACTGGTACTAGTTAGTAGTCGTAGTTTGTTATAGTACTAGTTAGTAGTAGTACAAGTTAGTAGTACTGGGTAGTAGTACTAGTTAGTACTAGTTAGTAGTACTAGTTAGTACTAGTCAGTAATAGTACTAGTTAGTACTAGTTAGTAGTGATAGTATTAGTTAGTGTTAGTTAGTAGTAGTACTGGTTAGTACTAGTTAGTAGTAGTACTAGTTAGTAGAAGTATCACTAGTTACTACTAGTTAGTATTAGTACTAGTTAGTACGAGTTAGTAGTAATAGTACTAGTCAGTACTACTTAGTAGTAGTATTAGCTAGTAGTAATATTACTAGTTAGTACTAGTTAGTAGTACTAGTTAATACTAGTTAGTAGTACTGGTTAGCAGTAGCACTAGTTAGTAGTACTAGTTAGCACTAGTTAGTAGCAATAGTACTAGATAGTACTAGTTAGTAGAGGTACTAGTTAGTAGTAGTATTACCAGTTAGTACTAGTTAGTAGTACTAGTTAGTAGCATGAGTACTAGTTAGTACTAGTTAGTAGAGGTACTAGTTAGTACTAGTTAGTAGTAGTATTAATTAGTACTAGTTAGTAGTAGTGGTACTAGTTAGTACTAGTTAGTAGTAGTAGTACCAGTTAGTACTAGTTAGTAGTAGTGTAGTGGAGTAAACAATACGCATATTAATTGGCCACATACAGTACGTACAGACAGACAAGGAGAAGGGGTCACACGAGGTCGAACAGGTAGTCGAGTCGCGGGTGGCGTTAACAACCCGAAGTAATTAAGGGAGTCGTGGCACGAGGGCTGCGATTGGTCGAGAGGCTGTTGGCGTTAAGTGGTGGCGTCTGGACGTCTGACGGAGGGGACAGGTGCGGGCTGGCGGGAGACGGCCAGCGAGCCACGTGGCAATTAATTAAGGCTAATGCGAGAGGGGGGATAAAACGCGAGGTGGTTTGAACGGAGTTGGAGTTGCTGCTGGAGAGTTGCTGCTGGAGAGTTGTTGTTGGAGAGATACGGAGAAGACAGCTGGAAATGTTAGGGAAGAATAGATAGAGAGCCGGACCCCAAAGACGGTAAATGGCGATAGGGAGAGTCAGCGTTAGCGGAGATAGACAGAGTCACTGTGTGTGAATAGATGGAAGTCACTGCGTGTGAAGAGATAGCGGCGATACTGTGTGTGAGGAGATAGAAGACGGACCACTGTGTGTGGAAGGGAAGTCACTGCGTGTGAATAGATAGCGGCGATACTGTGTGTGAGGAGATAGAAGACGGACCACTGTGTGTGGAAGAGAAGTCACTGCGTGTGAAGAGATAGCGGCGATACTGTGTGTGAGGAGATAGAAGACGGACCACTGTGTGTGGAAGAGAAGTCACTGCGTGTGAAGAGATAGCGGCGATACTGTGTGTGAGGAGATAGAAGACGGACCACTGTGTGTGGAGGGGAAGTCACTGCGTGTGAAGAGATAGCGGCGATACTGTGTGTGAGGAGATAGAAGACGAACCTCTGTGTGTGGAAGAGAAGTCACTGCGTGTGAAGAGATAGCGGCGATACTGTGTGTGAGGAGATAGAAGACGGACCACTGTGTGTGGAAGAGAAGTCACTGCGTGTGAAGAGATAGCGGCGATACTGTGTGTGAGGAGATAGAAGACGGACCACTGTGTGTGGAAGAGAAGTCACTGCGTGTGAATAGATAGCGGCGATACTGTGTGTGAGGAGATAGAAGACGGACCACTGTGTGTGGAAGAGAAGTCACTGCGTGTGAAGAGATAGCGGCGATACTGTGTGTGAGGAGATAGAAGACGGACCACTGTGTGTGGAGGGGAAGTCACTGCGTGTGAAGAGAGAGCGGCGATACTGTGTGTGAGGAGATAGAAGACGAACCTCTGTGTGTGGAAGGGTAGACACTGTGTGTGAAGAGATAGCGGCGATACTGTGTGTGAGGAGATAGAATACGAACCTCTGTGTGTGGAAGAGAAGTCACTGCGTGTGAAGAGATAGCGGCGATACTGTGTGTGAGGAGATGGAAGACGAACCACTGTGTGTGGAAGAGAAGTCACTGCGTGTGAAGAGATAGCGGCGATACTGTGTGTGAGGAGATAGAAGACGGACCACTGTGTGTGGAAGAGAAGTCACTGCGTGTGAAGAGATAGCGGTGATACTGTGTGTGAGGAGATGGAAGACGAACCACTGTGTGTGGAATAGAAGTCACTGCGTGTGAAGAGAGAGCGGCGATACTGTGTGTGAGGAGATAGAAGACGAACCTCTGTGTGTGGAAGGGTAGACACTGTGTGTGAAGAGATAGCGGCGATACTGTGTGTGAGGAGATAGAATACGAACCTCTGTGTGTGGAAGAGAAGTCACTGCGTGTGAAGAGATAGCGGCGATACTGTGTGTGAGGAGATAGAAGACGAACCTCTGTGTGTGGAAGGGAAGTCACTGCGTGTGAAGAGATAGCGGCGATACTGTGTGTGAGGAGATAGAAGACGGACCACTGTGTGTGGAAGAGAAGTCACTGCGTGTGAATAGATAGCGGCGATACTGTGTGTGAGGAGATAGAAGACGGACCACTGTGTGTGGAGGGGAAGTCACTGCGTGTGAAGAGAGAGCGGCGATACTGTGTGTGAGGAGATAGAAGACGAACCTCTGTGTGTGGAAGGGTAGACACTGTGTGTGAAGAGATAGCGGCGATACTGTGTGTGAGGAGATAGAAGACGGACCACTGTGTGTGGAAGAGAAGTCACTGCGTGTGAAGAGATAGCGGCGATACTGTGTGTGAGGAGATAGAATACGAACCTCTGTGTGTGGAAGGGAAGTCACTGCGTGTGAAGAGATAGCGGCGATACTGTGTGTGAGGAGATAGAAGACGGACCACTGTGTGTGGAAGGGAAGTCACTGCGTGTGAAGAGATAGCGGCGATACTGTGTGTGAGGAGATAGAAGACGGACCACTGTGTGTGGAAGAGAAGTCACTGCGTGTGAATAGATAGCGGCGATACTGTGTGTGAGGAGATAGAAGACAGACCACTGTGTGTGGAAGAGAAGTCACTGCGTGTGAATAGATAGCGGCGATACTGTGTGTGAGGAGATAGAAGACGGACCACTGTGTGTGGAAGAGAAGTCACTGCGTGTGAAGAGATAGCGGCGATACTGTGTGTGAGGAGATAGAAGACGGACCACTGTGTGTGGAAGAGAAGTCACTGCGTGTGAATAGATAGCGGCGATACTGTGTGTGAGGAGATAGAAGACGGACCACTGTGTGTGGAAGAGAAGTCACTGCGTGTGAAGAGATAGCGGCGATACTGTGTGTGAGGAGATAGAAGACGGACCACTGTGTGTGGAGGGGAAGTCACTGCGTGTGAAGAGAGAGCGGCGATACTGTGTGTGAGGAGATAGAAGACGAACCTCTGTGTGTGGAAGGGTAGACACTGTGTGTGAAGAGATAGCGGCGATACTGTGTGTGAGGAGATAGAATACGAACCTCTGTGTGTGGAAGAGAAGTCACTGCGTGTGAAGAGATAGCGGCGATACTGTGTGTGAGGAGATGGAAGACGAACCACTGTGTGTGGAAGAGAAGTCACTGCGTGTGAAGAGATAGCGGCGATACTGTGTGTGAGGAGATAGAAGACGGACCACTGTGTGTGGAAGAGAAGTCACTGCGTGTGAAGAGATAGCGGTGATACTGTGTGTGAGGAGATGGAAGACGAACCACTGTGTGTGGAATAGAAGTCACTGCGTGTGAAGAGAGAGCGGCGATACTGTGTGTGAGGAGATAGAAGACGAACCTCTGTGTGTGGAAGGGTAGACACTGGGTGTGAAGAGATAGCGGCGATACTGTGTGTGAGGAGATAGAATACGAACCTCTGTGTGTGGAAGAGAAGTCACTGTGTGTGAAGAGATAGCGGTGATACTGTGTGTGAGGAGATGGAAGACGAACCTCTGTGTGTGGAAGAGAAGTCACTGCGTGTGAAGAGATAGCGGCGATACTGTGTGTGAGGAGATAGAAGAATGACCACTGTGTGTGGAAGAGAAGTCACTGCGTGTGAAGAGATAGCGGCGATACTGTGTGTGAGGAGATAGAAGACGAACCTCTGTGTGTGGAAGGGTAGACACTGTGTGTGAAGAGATAGCGGCGATACTGTGTGTGAGGAGATAGAATACGAACCTCTGTGTGTGGAAGAGAAGTCACTGTGTGTGAAGAGATAGCGGTGATACTGTGTGTGAGGAGATAGAAGACGGACCACTGTGTGTGGAAGGGAAGTCACTGCGTGTGAAGAGATAGCGGCGATACTGTGTGTGAGGAGATAGAATACGAATCACTGTGTGTGAAAGAGAAGTCACTGCGTGTGAAGAGATAGCGGCGACACTGTGTGTGAGGAGATAGAATACGGACCACTGTGTGTGGAAGAGAAGTCACTGCGTGTGAAGAGATAGCGGCGATACTGTGTGTGAGGAGATAGAAGACGGACCACTGTGTGTGGAAGGGAAGTCACTGCGTGTGAAGAGAGAGCGGCGATACTGTGTGTGAGGAGATGGAAGACGGACCTCTGTGTGTGGAAGGGAAGTCACTGCGTGTGAAGAGAGAGCGGCGATACTGTGTGTGAGGAGATGGAAGACGAACCACTGTGTGTGGAAGAGAAGTCACTGCGTGTGAAGAGATAGCAGCGATACTGTGTGTGAGGAGATAGAAGAATGACCACTGTGTGTGGAAGAGAAGTCACTGCGTGTGAAGAGATAGCGGCGATACTGTGTGTGAGGAGATAGAAGACGAACCTCTGTGTGTGGAAGGGTAGACACTGTGTGTGAAGAGATAGCGGCGATACTGTGTGTGCGGAGATAGAATACGAACCTCTGTGTGTGGAAGAGAAGTCACTGTGTGTGAAGAGATAGCGGTGATACTGTGTGTGAGGAGATAGAAGACGGACCACTGTGTGTGGAAGGGAAGTCACTGCGTGTGAAGAGATAGCGGCGATACTGTGTGTGAGGAGATAGAATACGAATCACTGTGTGTGAAAGAGAAGTCACTGCGTGTGAAGAGATAGCGGCGACACTGTGTGTGAGGAGATAGAATACGGACCACTGTGTGTGGAAGAGAAGTCACTGCGTGTGAAGAGATAGCGGCGATACTGTGTGTGAGGAGATAGAAGACGGACCACTGTGTGTGGAAGGGAAGTCACTGCGTGTGAAGAGAGAGCGGCGATACTGTGTGTGAGGAGATGGAAGACGGACCACTGTGTGTGGAAGGGAAGTCACTGCGTGTGAAGAGATAGCGGCAATACTGTGTGTGAGGAGATAGAAGACGGACCACTGTGTGTGGAAGAGAAGTCACTGCGTGTGAAGAGATAGCGGCGATACTGTGTGTGAGGAGATAGAAGACGGACCACTGTGTGTGGAAGGGAAGTCACTGCGTGTGAATAGACAGACAGGATACTGTGTGTGAGGAGATAGAAGACGGACCACTGTGTGTGGAAGGGAAGTCACTGCGTGTGAAGAGATAGCGGCGATACTGTGTGTGAGGAGATAGAAGACCGAACCACTGTGTGTGGAAGAGAAGTCACTGCGTGTGAAGAGATAGCGGCGACACTGTGTGTGAGGAGATAGAATACGGACCACTGTGTGTGGAAGAGAAGTCACTGCGTGTGAAGAGATAGCGGTGATACTGTGTGTGAGGAGATAGAAGACCGAACCACTGTGTGTGGAAGAGAAGTCACTGCGTGTGAAGAGATAGCGGTGATACTGTGTGTGGAAGAGATAGAATACGAACCACTGTGTGTGGAAGAGAAGTCACTGCGTGTGAAGAGATAGCAGCGATACTGTGTGTGAGGAGATAGAAGACGGACCACTGTGTGTGGAAGGGAAGTCACTGCGTGTGAAGAGATAGCGGCGATACTGTGTGTGAGGAGATAGAATACGGACCACTGTGTGTGGAAGAGAAGTCACTGCGTGTGAAGAGAGAGCGGCGACACTGTGTGTGAGGAGATGGAAGACGGACCACTGTGTGTGGAAGAGAAGTCACTGCGTGTGAAGAGATAGCGGCGACACTGTGTGTGAGGAGATAGAAGACCGAACCACTGTGTGTGGAAGAGAAGTCACTGCGTGTGAAGAGATAGCGGTGATACTGTGTGTGAGGAGATAGAAGACCGAACCACTGTGTGTGGAAGAGAAGTCACTGCGTGTGAAGAGATAGCAGCGATACTGTGTGTGAGGAGATAGAAGACGGACCACTGTGTGTGGAAGGGAAGTCACTGCGTGTGAAGAGATAGCGGTGATACTGTGTGTGGAAGAGATAGAATACGAACCACTGTGTGTGGAAGAGAAGTCACTGCGTGTGAAGAGATAGCAGCGATACTGTGTGTGAGGAGATAGAAGACGGACCACTGTGTGTGGAAGGGAAGTCACTGCGTGTGAAGAGATAGCGGCGATACTGTGTGTGAGGAGATAGAATACGGACCACTGTGTGTGGAAGAGAAGTCACTGCGTGTGAAGAGAGAGCGGCGACACTGTGTGTGAGGAGATGGAAGACGGACCTCTGTGTGTGGAAGGGAAGTCACTGCGTGTGAAGAGATAGCGGCGATACTGTGTGTGAGGAGATAGAATACGAATCACTGTGTGTGGAAGAGAAGTCACTGCGTGTAAATAGACAGACAGGACACTGTGTGTGAGGAGATAGAAGAATGACCACTGTGTGTGGAAGAGAAGTCACTGCGTGTGAAGAGATAGGCGAAGAAACACTGTGTGTGTGGAAGGGGATGCACGGACGATGCTGAAGTAAATCGGAGTGTCCGGGTTGGCGGAGCACGGAGAGAATTACTGTGTGTACGGAACGATGGAATAAAAGTGACGGTGGAAAAATAGACGGTTGTCGTCCGAGTGAATTCACGGCACTACAGTAGTATTAGTTAGTACTAGTTAGTAGTAATAGTACTAGTTAGTACTAGTTAGTAGTAGTACTAGTTAATAGCAGTACTAGTTAGTATTAGTTAGTAGTAGTAGAGGTATCTTACCAGGTTGTTGCTGACCACAGCTGAGTACGGCAGTCTGTCCGACTGTCACTGTGGTATTCAGCAGCTGTTGGAACTCAGTAACCTGCACAGGCACTACGCAGATAGACAAAGACACAGACAGACACACACACAGATAGACACACACAGATAGACACACGCAGACACACACAGATAGACAGACACACACAAACACATACACACACAGATAGACACACAGAGACACACACAGATAGACACACAGATATAGACACAGATAGACACACAGAGACACACACAGATAGACAGACACACACAGACACATACACACACAGATCGACACACACACACACAACAACAACAACAACAACCGCCATTCACCACTAAGTGGCGGTGAAGTCACCACGACGCTTGTGCCAGGCTATGTGCACCCTGAGGCCACGTGAAGTGTCGAACGCCCGCTGGCAGGAGGTCACGGGGCAGACCCAGGTGCCACGGGTCGACTGACTGAGATGACTGGCTGATGCACCACCTGTGCCCCCTACTGCGCCAACCTGCTGTGCTTTAGCCACCCGGAACTCCACTCGTTGTTGTGAGCGTCGCTCCTCCTCCCTCCGTTGTTGTTGGAGGGCGACTGCCTCCAACTGCCCAGTAGCATCCTTCACGAGCCTCCTCCACAGAGGCCGATCTTGACACTGCTGGTACCAGTCATCGGCAAGTCCACTCAGCTCCACGTCCTCCTGTACCACGTCACTCCATCTCTTCTCTAGCCCGTGCCACGCCCGTTCAGCCCCCTCGATCCGGCCAAACAAAAGCTGTTTCGGCATGCGGTGGCTGGGCATGCGGGCTACATGACCCAGCCAATTCAGCCTTGCCTGCCGGAGGAGCTCACCAAAGGGACCCTGCCCAGATCTTTCAAGGATTTGTGAGCTCCTCACACAATCCAGCCTGGTTAAACCCAGGATAAATCGTAGGGAGGCCAGCCTAAATGTTTCTTACTGGCGAAGATGTTCCATTAGAGTGGTCCACGTTTCGCAAGTGTAAAAAAAGGAGGGAATGACCGTGGCCGAGAAGACCCGAAGCTTATTGCGGAACGACAGACCAGGTAGCTTCCACACAGTGTTACGCAACCGATGAAAAGATATTGCCGCTCGACTGATTCGGAGTGAGACCTCTGCTGTTAAACTGGAGCCGGTTATGAGCACACTGCCCAGGTATGGGAAACTCTCCACTCTCTCCACAACTGCCCCATCACCGATTGGGAGTTGTGGGGGTGGAGTGTCCGTTGGTACAAAATACCCAGGCAGGTGCTTAGTTTTGGTGGGGTTGATGGTAAGGCCCCACCTCTTAGTGGCACGCTCCAGTCTCAGCAGCAGCATCTCCAACTCCTTCTCTGAATGAGCAGCTATTACCAAATCATCGGCATACATAACGTGGTTGAGCAATAGGGAGCCATCCCTTGACCGCACCCGGGCATCGATCAGCCTCCAATTATATCTGTACCATATGGAGATTCTCCCGGTACAGCTATTGAAGGCTTCACGGACTACGTGGTCAAAATAGATGTTAAATAATGTGGAGCCAGAGGACATCCCTGTCGCACCCCAAAGTGTACAGGGAATGGCTCTGACTCCCAGCCACGTAGCTTTACCCGGGCCCGCTCACCATCGTGAAGGTCCTTAATGATCGTGAGCAGAGGTACAGGGACTCCAAAAGCACGAAGAACAACCCAGAGCCCGGGCCTACTGATGGTATCATAGGCTTTGACCAGGTCAATAAAGCAGAGATGTAGGTCTTGTTGGAATTCCCTACACCTCTGCTGTAGCAGACGGACAGAAAATATGGTATATGTGCAGGACCGCCCTTTCCTGAAACCACATTTGGGCTCGGCAAGCCTCTCCTCAGCGTGCCTGGCAAGGCGATGTTGAATAATCCTTGCCAGGACCTTTCCCGGCACACTGAGGAGTGAGATGCCCCTGTAGTTGTTACAGTCTGTGCGGTCCCCCTTCTTAAAAAGGGGGACCACCAGGGCATCCTTCCAATCCTGCGGAACCCGTCCAGTGGTCCAGACCGTTGTTATGATGTCATATAGGGCAGTCTGTGCACAAACACCACCCTCCCTCAGCCATTCGCTTGGGAGATCATCTCTGCCCGGTGCTTTTCCTGGTCTCAGACTCCGGATGGCCTTCAGTAATTCCTCAACAGATGGCACCTCAGCCAGTCACTCACAAGGGTTGACTTCTTTCAATATTTGTGGCACCGCAGCCTCAGCAGGGTCATCCCCACTTTTCCTGGCTGAGGGATTTCCCCTCCCCCAGGACCTCACAGAAATGCTCAGCAAATCTGCAAACCTGTTCCTGGGGGTCGGAGATTGGATCACCGTTTTTTCCCCTAATGATGGTAATAGGTGTGGCGCTGCAGGTTACTTTTTTGATGGAGTTAAATAGAGATTTGTGATCGCGGGCCACTGAGGCAGACTCCATCTCCTCAGCAACCCGCAACCACCACCCATCCTTGCATCGCCTCACGGCTATCCGAACCTCCGAGCGAAGGCTGCGGTAAGCCTCCTCATTCTCTGACGTGGCATTCTGTAGCCGATGACAGTGGGCCTGTCGCTTTTTCTCAACTATCCTGAACACATACTCTGTCAGCCAGGGTCTCTGGGGAGGTCTGGACCACATACCCAAAGTTGCCATTGCAGCTGCATGAGTCACAGTCCTAAACCTCGCCCATTTACCCTCGACATCAGGAGGAGGTGGGGACGATGCCAACCCCAGCCGCAAGCGATGATGAAATTCTCGCTTACAACTTTCATAAGATAACTGAGACCAAGCCACTGTAGGTTGGAATGGGGTCCTGGGTGTACCCCCACCACCGGAGTGGAAGAATGGCAGGCGCATCTTACAGATGACAAGTCGATGGTCAGAGAGCAGATCAGCTCCACGGTAGGTCCTGGTGTCAAAGACATGGGCTCACATCCGCTGGTCCATCATTATGTAGTCCAGCAGATGTTCTTGCTTGGACCCGGCATGCATCCATGATGTTGTATGGATGCACCGATGCCGGAACAGCATGTTGGTAATTACAAGCCCATGGGCTGCACAAAAATCTAGAAGTCTCCTATCATTGTTATTGAGCTGATCTGGCCCTTGCCCTCCAATCAATCCAGACCAGGTGCCAGCATCATGACCAACTCAGGCATTGACGTCACCCAACAAGATGACTCTATCCCGAGGTGCCCCTTTAGCCAGCACCTGTGACAGGAGGTCATAGAAGGCATCTGACTCATCGGCCTTGCCTGCATCCCTCCACGGATGTTCATCTTCGGTGGGGGCATAAGTAACCACGACCACCACTCCTCGCCACTGGTTGATGGGAAGGCGAGCCCAAAGTAGCCTGGGGCTTACAGCTTCCCACACCTCACCGCCACGCTCCCACGCCCCCTTGATTATTATGTTCAAAAGAAGAGCCACACCCTGTTGTTTGGCAGTCTGCTGCCCCGAGTAGAGGACTGTCCACCCCTCATGGTGGCAAGAGCCAGAACCGGTCCACCGGACCTCCTGAATGCCGCATAGATCCAGGCGGTACCGGTCCAGCTCCCGACAGAGGAGTGGCAGCCTCTCCTCCGCAGTGAGCGTTCGAACATTCCACGTGGCCATCTGTAGCGGCTTTTCGTTGTTTCTGGAGGATCCCCGAGGGTAGAGATTCAATTGGCGTCTTGCCAGGAGACGTCATAGACGCCTGTCACCCCGGGGCCTCCGGCACAAGCTTATTAATTAGATAATTTATACATCTTCTTTGGTTCTTTCGGTAAAGTCATGTAGAATGAGAATAAAATAATACATTGATAAAATAAAATAACACAATAATATTCTCACGACGTTTCGGCCACAACACAAGCGGCCTTCATCAGGTGAAGGGGAGTCTCGTCCCCTTCACCTGATGAAGGCCGCTTGTGTTGTGGCCGAAACGTCGTGAGAATTTAATTGTGTTATTTTATTTGATCAATTTATTATTTTATTCCAATTCTACGTGACTTTACCGAAAGAACCAAAGAAGATGAATCCTTGCAGTCACCAAAGCTTTAAATCGAAATTTATACATGGTTTAGTGGTAATTAATTGAAGGTGGAGGGGTTACCAGCCCCTCGCACCCGTCCAGAGCCCCCGTTTAGCCCCTGTGGTGGGCAAAGACGCCATGAGGGGAGGAGCCAATCGGAATTGGCCCTCCCCCCACAGCACTGTCCACGACAGAGTTGCCCGTTCGGTACCCACCCACTCACTCACCCACCTACTCACCCACTCACTCACCCACCTACTCACCCACTCACTCACCCCCCACTCACTCACTCCCTCACCCACCCATCCACCCAGTAACTCACCCCCCACTCACTCACCCACTCACCCACCCACTCACTCACCCACTCACCCACTCACTCACTCACCCACTCATTCACTCACTCACTCACCCACTCACTCACTCACTCACCCACTCACTCACTCCCTCACCCACCCACTCACTCACCCACTCACCCCCCACTCACTCACCCACTCACCCACCCACTCACTCACCCACTCACCCACTCACTCACTCACCCACTCATTCACTCACTCACTCACTCACCCACTCACTCACTCACTCACCCACTCACTCACTCCCTCACCCACCCACTCACTCACCCACTCACCCCCCACTCACTCACCCACTCACCCACCCACTCACTCACCCACTCACCCACCCACCCACTCACCCACACACTCACTCACCCACTCATTCACTCACCCACTCACTCACTCACTCACCCACTCACTCACTCACTCACCCACTCACTCACTAACTCACCCACTCACTCACTCACCCCACCCACTCACTCACCCACTCATTCACCCACCCACTCACTCACTCACCTACTCACTCACTCACCCACTCACTCACTCACTCACCCACTCACTCACTCACCCACTCACTCACTCACCCACTCACTCACTCACCCACTCACTCACTCACCCACTCACTCACTCACCCACCCACTCACTCACTCACTCACCCACCCACTCACTCACTCACCCACCCACTCACTCACTCACTCACCCACTCACTCACTCACCCACTCACTCACTCACCCACTCACTCACTCACTCACCCACCCACTCACTCACTCACTCACCCACTCATTCACCCACCCACTCACTCACTCACTCACCCACTCACTCACCCACTCACTCACCCACTCACTCACTCACCCACTCACTCACCCACTCACTCACTCACTCACCCACTCACTCACTCACTCACCCACCCACTCACTCACTCACTCACCCACTCATTCACCCACCCACTCACTCACTCACCCACTCACTCACTCACTCACCCACTCATTCACCCACTCACTCACTCACTCACCCACTCACTCACCCACTCACCCACTCATTCACCCACCCACTCATTCACTCACTCACTCCCTCACCCACCCATCCACCCAGTAACTCACCCCCCACTCACTCACCCACTCACCCACCCACTCACTCACCCACTCACCCACTCACTCACTCACCCACTCATTCACTCACTCACTCACCCACTCACTCACTCACTCACTCACCCACTCACTCACTCCCTCACCCACCCACTCACTCACCCACTCACCCCCCACTCACTCACCCACTCACCCACCCACTCACTCACCCACTCACCCACTCACTCACTCACCCACTCATTCACTCACTCACTCACTCACTCACCCACTCACTCACTCACTCACCCACTCACTCACTCCCTCACCCACCCACTCACTCACCCACTCACCCCCCACTCACTCACCCACTCACCCACCCACTCACTCACCCACTCACCCACCCACCCACTCACCCACTCACTCACTCACCCACTCATTCACTCACCCACTCACTCACTCACTCACCCACTCACTCACTCACTCACCCACTCACTCACTAACTCACCCACTCACTCACTCACCCACCCACTCACTCACCCACTCATTCACCCACCCACTCACTCACTCACCTACTCACTCACTCACCCACTCACTCACTCACTCACCCACTCACTCACTCACCCACTCACTCACTCACCCACTCACTCACTCACCCACTCACTCACTCACCCACTCACTCACTCACCCACCCACTCACTCACTCACTCACCCACCCACTCACTCACTCACCCACCCACTCACTCACTCACTCACCCACTCACTCACTCACCCACTCACTCACTCACCCACTCACTCACTCACTCACCCACTCACTCACTCCCTCACCCACCCACTCACTCACCCACTCACCCCCCACTCACTCACCCACTCACCCACCCACTCACTCACCCACTCACCCACTCACTCACTCACCCACTCATTCACTCACTCACTCACTCACTCACCCACTCACTCACTCACTCACCCACTCACTCACTCCCTCACCCACCCACTCACTCACCCACTCACCCCCCACTCACTCACCCACTCACCCACCCACTCACTCACCCACTCACCCACCCACCCACTCACCCACTCACTCACTCACCCACTCATTCACTCACCCACTCACTCACTCACTCACCCACTCACTCACTCACTCACCCACTCACTCACTAACTCACCCACTCACTCACTCACCCACCCACTCACTCACCCACTCATTCACCCACCCACTCACTCACTCACCTACTCACTCACTCACCCACTCACTCACTCACTCACCCACTCACTCACTCACCCACTCACTCACTCACCCACTCACTCACTCACCCACTCACTCACTCACCCACTCACTCACTCACCCACCCACTCACTCACTCACTCACCCACCCACTCACTCACTCACCCACCCACTCACTCACTCACTCACCCACTCACTCACTCACCCACTCACTCACTCACCCACTCACTCACTCACTCACTCACCCACCCACTCACTCACTCACTCACCCACTCATTCACCCACCCACTCACTCACTCACTCACCCACTCACTCACCCACTCACTCACCCACTCACTCACTCACCCACTCACTCACCCACTCACTCACTCACTCACCCACTCACTCACTCACTCACCCACCCACTCACTCACTCACTCACCCACTCATTCACTCACCCACTCACTCACTCACCCACTCACTCACTCACTCACCCACTCATTCACCCACTCACTCACTCACTCACCCACTCACTCACCCACTCACCCACTCATTCACCCACCCACTCATTCACTCACTCACTCCCTCACCCACCCATCCACCCAGTAACTCACCCCCCACTCACTCACCCACTCACCCACCCACTCACTCACCCACTCACCCACTCACTCACTCACCCACTCATTCACTCACTCACTCACCCACTCACTCACTCACTCACTCACCCACTCACTCACTCCCTCACCCACCCACTCACTCACCCACTCACCACCCACTCACTCACCCACTCACCCACCCACTCACTCACCCACTCACCCACTCACTCACTCACCCACTCATTCACTCACTCACTCACTCACCCACTCACTCACTCACTCACCCACTCACTCACTCCCTCACCCACCCACTCACTCACCCACTCACCCCCCACTCACTCACCCACTCACCCACCCACTCACTCACCCACTCACCCACCCACCCACTCACCCACTCACTCACTCACCCACTCACTCACTCACCCACTCACTCACTCACTCACCCACTCACTCACTCACTCACCCACTCACTCACTCACTCACCCACTCACTCACTCACCCACCCACTCACTCACCCACTCATTCACCCACCCACTCACTCACTCACCTACTCACTCACTCACCCACTCACTCACTCACTCACCCACTCACTCACTCACCCACTCACTCACTCACCCACTCACTCACTCACCCACTCACTCACTCACCCACTCACTCACTCACCCACTCACTCACTCACTCACTCACCCACCCACTCACTCACTCACCCACCCACTCACTCACTCACTCACCCACTCACTCACTCACCCACTCACTCACTCACCCACTCACTCACTCACTCACTCACCCACCCACTCACTCACTCACTCACCCACTCATTCACCCACCCACTCACTCACTCACTCACCCACTCACTCACCCACTCACTCACCCACTCACTCACTCACCCACTCACTCACCCACTCACTCACTCACTCACCCACTCACTCACTCACTCACCCACCCACTCACTCACTCACTCACCCACTCATTCACCCACCCACTCACTCACTCACCCACTCACTCACTCACTCACCCACTCATTCACCCACTCACTCACTCACTCACCCACTCACTCACCCACTCACCCACTCATTCACCCACCCACTCACTCACTCACTCACCCACTCACTCACCCACTCACTCACCCACTCACTCACTCACCCACTCACTCACCCACTCACTCACTCACTCACCCACTCACTCACTCACTCACCCACCCACTCACTCACTCACTCACCCACTCACTCACCCACCCACTCACTCACTCACCCACTCACTCACTCACTCACCCACTCATTCACCCACTCACTCACTCACTCACCCACTCACTCACCCACTCACCCACTCATTCACCCACCCACTCACTCACTCACCCACTCACTCACTCACTCACCCACTCATTCACCCACTCACTCACCCACTCACCCACCCACTCACTCACTCACCCACTCACTCACTCACTCACCCACTCACTCACTCACCCACCCACTCACTCACTCACCCACCCACCCACTCACCCACCCACTAACCCACTCACTCACTCACTCACCCACCCACTCACTCACTCACCCACCCACTCACTCACTCACCCACTCACTCACTCACCCACTCACTCACTCACCCACTCACTCACCCACTCACTCACTCACCCACCCACTCACTCACTCACTCACCCACTCACTCACCCACTCACTCACTCACCACCCACTCACTCACCCACTCACTCACTCACTCACCCACTCACTCACCCACTCACTCACTCACTCACCCACTCACTCACTCACCCACTCACTCACCCACTCACTCACTCACCCACTCACTCACTCACCCACCCACTCACTCACCCACTCACTCACTCACCCACCCACTCACCCACTCACTCACTCACCTACCCACTCACTCACTCACCCACCCACTCACTCACTCACCCACTCACTCACTCACTCACCCACTCACTCACTCACTCACCCACTCACTCACCCACTCACTCACTCACTCACCCACCCACCCACTCACTCACCCACTCACTCACTCACCCACCCACTCACCCACTCACTCAATCACTCACCCACTCATTCACTCACCCACTCACTCACTCACTCACCCACCCACTCACTCACCCACTCACCCACTCACTCACCCACTCACCCACTCACTCACTCACCCACCCACCCACTCACTCACCCACCCACCCACCCACTCACTCACCCACTCACTCACTCACTCACCCACCCACTCACTCAACACCGTTGTTTACCTTTCCCGAGGCAATTCCGAGATGATGCCCCAGAGGGACCACCACCACCATCACCACCACCATCACCACCACCATCACCACCACCATCACCACCACCACCACCACGCTCACCACCAGGCACACAGCCACTCCTGCGCGATGGTGCCTGGTGAGCGTCGTCCTGGTGAGCGTTGTGGTGAGCGTTGTGGTGAGCGGTGTGGTGAGCGTTGTGGTGGTGGTGGTGGTGGTGATGGTCGTGGTGGTGGTGGTGGTGGTAAGGATCACACGGTGCAAGGAAATGATGGAGTTGACAGGGAGGTTCTGTGATGGTGGTGGTGATGGTGGTGATGGTGATGGTGGTGGCGGTGATGTGGGAGAGAGACAGGGAGAGAGAAAACTTTGGATTAGACACACAGACACACACAGACACACACAGACACACACACAGACACACACAGACACACACAGACACACAGAAACACACACAGACACACACACAGACACACACATACATAGACACATACACAGACACACACAGACACACACATACATAGACACACACAGACACACACACACAGACACACACAGACAACAACAACCGCCATTCGCCACTAAGTGGCGGTGAAGTCACCACGACGCTTGTGCCAAGCTATGTGCACCCTGAGGCCACGTGAAGTGTCGAACGCCCGCTGGCAGGAGGTCACGGGGCAGACCCAGGTGCCACGGGTCGACTGACTGAGATGACTGAGATGACTGGCTGATGCACCACCTGTGCCCCCTACTGTGCCAACCTGCTGTGCTTTAGCCACCCGGCGCTCCGCTCGTTGTTCTGAGCGTCGCTCCTCCGCCCTCCATTGTTGTTGGAGGGCGACTGCCTCCAACTGCCCAGTAGCATCCTTCACGAGCCTCCTCCACAGAGGCCGATCTTGACACCGCTGGTACCAGTCATCGGCAAGTCAACTCAGCTCCACGTCCTCCTGTACCACATCACTCCATCTCTTCTCTAGGCCGTGCCGCGCCCGCTTAGCCCCCTCAATCCGGCCAAACAAAAGCTGTTTCGGCATGCGGTGGCTGGGCATGCGGGCTACATGACCCAGCCATCGCAGCCTTGCCTGCCGGAGGAGCTCACCGATGGGACCCTGCCCAGATATTTCAAGGATTTGTGAGCTCCTCACACAATCCAGTCTGGTTAAACCCAGGATGGATCGTAGGCAGGCCAGCCTAAATGTTTCTAACCGGCGAAGATGTTCCATTAGGGGGGTCCACGTTTCGCAAGCGTAGAGAAGGGAGGGAATGACTGTGGCCGAGAAGACCTGAAGCTTAGTGCGGAGCGACAGACCAGGTAGCTTCCACACAGCGTTACGCAACCGATGAAAAGATATTGCCGCTCGACTGATTCGGAGTGAGACCTCTGCTGTTAAACTGGAGCCAGTCACAAGCACACTGCCCAGGTATGGGAAACTCTCCACTCTCTCCACAACTGCCCCATCACCGATTGGGAGTTGTGGGGGTGGAGTGTCCGATGGTACAAAATACCCAGGCAGGTGCTTAGTTTTGGTGGGGCTGATGGTAAGGCCCCACCTCTTAGTGGCACGCTCCAGTCTCAGCAGCAGCGTCTCCAACTCCTCCTCTGACTGAGCAGCTATTACCAAATCATCAGCATACATAACGTGGTTGAGCAATAGGGAGCCATCCCTTGACTGCACCCGGGCATCGATTAGCCTCCCATTATATCTGTACCATATGGAGTTTCCCCCGGTACAGCTAATGAAGGCTTCACGAACTACGTGGTCAAAATAGATGTTAAATAATGTGGGAGCCAGAGGACATCCCTGTCGCACCCCAAGGTGTACAGGGAATGGCTCTGACTCCCGGCCACGTAGTTTTACCCGGGCCCGCTCACCATCATGAAGGTCCTTAATGATCGTGAGCAGAGGGTCAGGTACTCCAAAAGCACGAAGAACGACCCAGAGCCCAGGCCTACTGATGGTATCATAGGCCTTGACCAGGTCAATAAAGCAGAGATGTAGGTCTTGTTGGAATTCCCTACACCTCTGCTGTAGCAGACGGACAAAAAATATGGCATCTGTGCAGGACCGCCCTTTCCTGAAACCGCATTGGGACTCCGCAAGCCTCTCCTCAGCGTGCCTGGCAAGGCGATGCTGAATAATCCTTGCCAGGACCTTTCCCGGCACACTGAGGAGTGAGATGCCCCTGTAGTTGTTACAGTCTGTGCGGTCCCCCTTCTTAAAAAGGGGGACCACCAGGGCATCCTTCCAATCCTGCGGAACCCGCCCAGTGGTCCAGACTGTTATTATGATGTCAAATAGGGCAGTCTGTGCACAAACGCCACCCTCCCTCAACATTTCGCTTGGGAGATCATCTCTGCCCACTGCCTTTCCTGGTCTCAGACTCCGGATTGCCTTCAATACTTCCTCAGCAGATGGCACCTCAGCCAGCCACTCACAGGGGGTGACTTCTTCCAATATTTGAGGCACCGCAGCCTCAGCAGGGTCATCCTCACTTTGTGCCACGATGTTTTCCTGGCTGAGGGATTTTCCCTCCCCCAGGACCTCACAGAAATGCTCAGCAAATCTGCAAACCTGTTCCTGGGGGTCGGAGATTGGGTCACCGTTTTTTCCCCTAATGATGGTAATAGGTGTGGCGCTGCAGATTACTTTTTTGATGGAGTTAAATAGAGATTTGTGATCACGGGCCACTGAGGCAGACTCCATCTCCTCAGCAACCCGCGACCACCACCCATCCTTGCAGCGCCTCACGGCTCTCCGAACCTCCGAGCGAAGGCTGCGGTAAGCCTCCTCATTCTCTGACGTGGGATACTGTAGCCGATGACAGTGGGCCTGTCGCTTTTTCTCAACCATCCTGAACACCTCCTCTGTCAGCCAGGGTCTCTGGGGATGTCTGGACCGCGTACCCAAAGCAGCCATTGCAGCTGCATGAGTCACAGTCCTAAACCTCGCCCATTTACCCTCGACATCAGGAGGAGTGGGGGACGATGCCAATCCCAGCCGCAAGCGATGATGAAATTCTCGCTTGCAACTTTCATCAGATAACTGAGACCAGGCCACTTTAGGTTGGAATGGGGTCCTGGGTGTACACCCACCACCGGAGTGGAAGAATGGCAGGCGCATCTTACAGATGACTAGTCGATGGTCAGAGGGCAGATCAGCTCCACGGTAGGTCCTGGTGTCAAGGACATGGGCTCGCATTCGCTGGTCCGTCACTATGTAGTCCAGCAGAGATGTTCTTGCTTGGACCCGGCATGCATCCATGATGTTGTGTGGATGCGCCGATGCCGGAACAGCGTGTTGGTAATTACAAGCCCATGGGCTACACAAAAATCTAGCAGCCTCCTACCATTGTTATTGTGCTGATCTGGCCCATTCCCTCCAATCACTCCAGACCAGGTGCCAGTATCATGACCAACTCGGGCATTGAAGTCACCCAACATGATGACTCTATCCCGAGGGGCCACTTTAGCCAGCACCTGTGACAGGAGGTCATAGAAGGCATCTGACTAATCGGCTTTGCCTGCATCCCTCCACGAATGTTCGTCTTCGGACACACACACAGACAGACACACACAGACAGACACACACACAGTTACACACACACAGACACACACACAGACACAGACACACACACAGACACACACACAGTTATACACACGCACAGTTATACACACACAGTTATACACACACACAGACACACACACAGACACACACACAGTTATACACACGCACAGTTATACACACACACAGTTATACACACACACAGACACACACACAGACACACACACAGACACACACACACAAACCACAGATTCCAACCTCAAACCATCACCCGCTGGGATTAATCTCCTCGCTTTCCTGATTGCCTAGCAACGAGGCTTGGCCTCGTTGCTAGGCAACCGTGAAAGCTCGGTTGCTAGGCAACACGTGGTGAGTCGATGGGTCTCTGTGTAGTGGTGAGTCTATGGGTCTCTGTATAGTAGTGGTGAGTCTATGGGTCTCTGTGTAGTGGTGGTGAGTCTATGGGTCTCTGTGTGGTGGTGAGTCTATGGGTCTCTGTGTAGTGGTGAGTCTATGGGTCTCTGTGTAGTGGTGAGTCTATGGGTCTCTGTGTAGTGGTGAGTCTATGGGTCTCTGTGTAGTGGTGAGTCTATGGTTCTCTGTGTAGTGGTGAGTCTATGGGTCTCTGTGTAGTGGTGAGTCTATGGGTCTCTGTGTAGTGGTGAGTCTATGGGTCTCTGTGTAGTGGTGGTGAGTCTATGGGTCTCTGTGTAGTGGTGAGTCTATGGGTCTCTGTGTAGTGGTGAGTCTATGGGTCTCTGTGTAGTGGTGAGTCTATGGGTCTCTGTGTAGTGGTGAGTCTATGGGTCTCTGTGTAGTAGTGGTGAGTCTATGGGTCTCTGTGTAGTGGTGGTGAGTCTATGGGTCTCTGTGTAGTGGTGAGTCTATGGGTCTCTGTGTAGTGGTGAGTCTATGGGTCTCTGTGTAGTGGTGAGTCTATGGGTCTCTGTAGTGGTGGTGAGTCTATGGGTCTCTGTGTATTGGTGGTGAGTCTATGGGTCTCTGTGTGGTGGTGAGTGTAGTGTTGAGTGCAGTGGTGAGTGTAGGGGTGAGTGTAGTGGTGAGTGTAGTGGTGAGTAGTGGTGAGTGAAGTGGTGCGTGTAGTAGTGGTGAGTGTAGTGGTGGGTGTAGTGGTGAGTGTAGCAGTGGTGAGTAGTGTTGAGTGTAGTGGTGAGTGTAGGGGTGAGTGTAGTGGTGAGTGTAGTGGTGAGTGTACTGGTGAGTGGTGGTGAGTGTAGTGGTGAGTGTAGTGGTGAGTGTAGTAGTGAGTGTAGTGGTGAGTGTAGTGGTGAGTGTAGTGCTGAGTGTAGTAGTGAGTGTAGTGGTGAGTGTAGTGGTGAGTGTAATGGTGAGTGTAGGGGTGAGTGTAGTGGTGAGTGTAGTGGTGAGTGTAGTGGTGAGTGGTGAGTGTAGTGGTGAGTGTAGTAGTGATTGTAGTGGTAAGTGTAGTGGTGAGTGTAGTAGTGAGTAGTGGTGAGTGTAGGGGTGAGTGTAGTGGTGAGTGTAGTGGTGAGTGGTGAGTGTAGTGGTGAGTGTAGTGGTGAATAGTGAGTGTAGTGGTGGGTGTAGTGGTGAGTGTAGTGGTGAGTAGTGAGTGTAGTGGTGAGTGTAGTGGTGAGTGTGGTGGTGAGTGTGGTGGTGAGTGTAGTGGTGAGTGTAGTGGTGAGTGTGGTGGTGAGTGTAGTGGTGAGTGTGGTGGTGAGTGTGGTGGTGAGTGTGGTGGTGAGTGTGGTGGTGAGTTTATGACTCCTCACCTTGAACCTTCAATGTATCCATCTGGGGAGAAACAGAGAAGTGAGTGGTGAGGTGAGTGACATTCACCTCACTCACTCACTCACCCACTCACTCACCCACTCACTCACTCACTCACCCACTCAATCACTCACTCACTCACCTACTCACTCACCCACTCACTCACAACTCACTCACTCACCCACTCACCCACTCATTCACCTCACCCACTCACTCACCCACTCACTCACTCACTCACCCACTCAATCACTCACTCACCCACTCACTCACTCACCCACTTACTCACCCACTCACTCACTCACTCACCCACTCAATCACTCACTCACTCACCCACTCACTCACTCACCCACTCACTCACTCACCCACTCAATCACTCACTCACTCACTCACCCACTCACTCACTCACCCACTCAATCACTCACTCACTCACTCACTCACCCACTCACTCACTCACTCACCCACTCACTCACCCACTCACTCACTCACCCACTCAATCACTCACTCACCCACTCACTCACTCACTCACCCACTCACTCACTCACCCACTCAAGCACTCACTCACTCACCCACTCACTCACTCACCCACCCACTTACTCACCCACTCACTCACTCACTCACCCACACTCACCCAATCACTCACTCACCCACTCAACCACTCACTCACTCACCTACTCACTCACACACTCACTCACTCACTCTCCCACTCAATCACTCACTCACTCACCCACTCACTCACTCACCCACTCACCACTTACCCACTCACTCATCCACTCACTCACCCACTCACTCACTCACTCACCCACTCAAGCACTCACTCACTCACCCACTCACTCACCCACTCACTCACTCACCCACTCACTCACCCACTCACTCATTCACCCACTCACTCACCAACTCACTCACTCACCCACTCACTCACCCACTCACCCAATCACTCACCCACTCACCACTTACCCACTCACTCACTCACCCACTCACTCACTCACCCACTCACCCACCCACTCACTCACATGGTGATGTTGTTGATGTTGTTGATGCTGATGATGATATTGATGATGATGATGTTGTTGATGCTGTTGATGCTGATGATGCTGTTGATGTTGATTATGTTGTTGATGTTGATGATGTTGTTGATGTTATTGTTGCTGTTGATGATGATTATCTTGTTGTTGATGTTGTTGATGTTGATGATGCTATTGTTGATGTTATTGTTGATGTTGATGATTATGTCGTTGATGTTGATGATGCTGTTGATCTTGATTATGTTGTTGATGTTGTTGATGATGTTATTGTTGATGTTGTTGATGTTGATGATGTTATTGATGTTGATGATGTTGTTGATGTTGATGATGATCATGTTGTTGATGTTGTTGATGTTGATGATGTTATTGTTGATGTTGTTGATGTTATTGTTGATGATTATGTTGTTGATGTTGATGATGTTATTGATGTTGACGATGTTTTTGATGTTGATGATGATCATGTTGTTGATGTTGTTGATGTTGTTGATGTTGATGATGTTATTGTTGGTGTTGTTGATGTTATTGTTGATGTTGATGATGATTATGTTGTTGATGTTGATGATGTTATTGTTGATGTTTTTGATGTTATTGTTGATGTTGATGATTATTATGTTGATGATGTTATTGTTGATGTTGATGATGTTGATGATGTTATTGATGATGTTGCTAATGTTATTGTTGATGATGATCATGTTGTTGATGTTGTTGATGTTGATGATGTTGTTGATGTTATTGTTGATGTTGATGATGATCATGTTGTTGATGTTGTTGATGTTATTGTTGATGTTGATGATGATCATGTTGTTGATGATGTTGATGTTGATGATGTTATTGCTGATGTTGATGATGTTATTGTTGATGTTGTTGATGTTATTGTTGATGTTGATGATGATTATGTTGTTGATGTTGTTGATGTTGATGATGGTATTGTTGATGTTGTTGATGTTGATGATGTTATTGTTGATGTTGTTGATGTTATTGTTGATGTTGATGATTATTATGTTGTTGATGTTGTTGATGTTGATGATGTTATTGTTGATGTTGTTGATGTTATTGTTGATGATTATGTTGTTGATGTTATTGTTGATGTTGATGATGTTGATGATGTTATTGTTGATGTTGTTGATGTTATTGTTGATGTTGATGATTATTATGTTGTTGATGTTGATGATGTTATTGTTGATGTTGATGATGTTGATGATGTTATTGTTGATGTTGCTCATGTTATTGTTGATGTTGATGATGATCATGTTGTTGATGTTGTTGATGTTGATGATGTTGTTGATGTTATTGTTGATGTTGATGATGATGATCATGTTGTTGATGTTGTTGATGATCTTATTGCTGATGTTGATGATGTTATTGTTGATGTTGTTGATGTTATTGTTGATGTTGATGATGATTATGTTGTTGATGCTATTGTTGATGTTGTTGATGTCTTACCGAGGGTTTTGTCTCCTGCAGAGTGGTGGGTAGACGCTGCATGGCGACAGCAGCAGAGCGGCCAGGAACAATCAGCACCAACACCACCCCCATCACCAACATCACCAACATCACCCCAATCATCCTCCTGGAGATACACACACAGATACACATACACACAGATACACACACACAGACACACACACACAGATACACACACACACAGATACGCACACATACACACGCAGATACACACACACAGACACACACAGTTACACACACACAGACACACACACAGATACACACACAGACACACACAGATACACACAGATACACACAGATACACACAGATACACACACACATATACACACACACACAGACACACACACATATACACACACAGACATACACACACAGATACACACACACACAGATATACACACAGACACACAGACACACACACACGCAGATGCAGACACACACACTGATACACACACAGACACACAGACACACACAGACATACACACACAGATACACACACGCAGATATGCACACAGACACACAGACACACACACACAGGCACACACACGCAGACACACACACAGATACACACACAGACACACACAGACATACACAGACACACACACAGATACACACACACAGACACACACACACACAGACACACACAGATACACACACACAGACACACATATACACACACACAGACACACACACAGATACACACACAGACATACACACAGATACACACACACAGATATACACACAGACACAGACACACAGACACACACACACAGACACACACGCAGGTACAGACACACACACACACACACAGACACACACACGCAGATACACACACACAGATACACACACAGACACACAGACACACACATACACAGACATACACAGACACACACACAGACACACACACACAGACACACACACAGATACACACACACAGACACACACATACACACACAGACACACAGATACACACACACACAGACACACACATACACACAGACACACACACAGATACACACACAGACATACACACACAGATACACACACAGATATACTCACAGACACAAACACACAGACACACACGCAGATACAGACACACACACAGATATACACACACACACAGACACACACACGCAGATACACACACACACACAGATACACACACAGACACACACACAGACATACACAGACACACACACAGACACACACACACAGATATATACACACACACACACAGATACACACACACACAGATACACACACACAGATACACACACACAGACACACACAGACATACACACACAGATACATACACAGACAGACACACAGACACACACACAGATACAGACACACACATAGACACACACAGACACACACACAGATATATATACACACACACACAATACACACACTCACAGATATACACACACAAATACACACACACAGACACACAGATACAAACACACAAATACACACAGATACACACTCACTCCCTCTATCTACAATAGATATCTAATACACTATATATAATAGATTATACACACACACACAAATAGTATACACAGCACACTCATTCATTATATACACTTAATATGGCAACTACATTATATATAAATTCTATATACTACACTATATGTGGGTATTTATAAACTATGAGCTATTTTTAAGCTAAATATACGATATATAAACTATATCATCTATCTATATATAAATACTATATCATCTATAAAGTATAAAACTTTTTATAATCTATAAAAAAGCAAGATAATTTATAGATTATACTGCATGTACAGTATATTGTACTGTATATAATAGACTGTACATGCAGTACGCACAGTGCATACTGTATATACAGTACGTGTTGTATATACTGTATATACTGTATCGATTATATAAACACAATACTCTGTGTGTATGAACCCTATAATATGTATATAATGTATAAATAGTGTATATAATGTATAAATAGTGTGTAGTATTTATAAATCGTGTGTATAATGTATAGTGTGTATTATGTATAAATAGTGTGTATAATGTATAAATAGTGTATATAATGTATAGTGTGTATAATGTATAAATAGTGTGTATAATGTATAAATAGTGTGTATAATGTATAAATAGTGTATATAATGTATATATAGTGTATATTATGTATAAATAGTGTATATAATGTATAAAGTGTATATAATGTATGTAGTGTGTATATAATGCATATATAATGTAAATACACTATATAATGTATAATTAATGTATAATTAGTGTATATATAATGTATAGTTAGTGTATAATTAGTATAAATATAAAGTGTATATACTATACATTATATTGACACTTTAGTCTATATTATTTACATGCTATATAATATATATAATGTATATACATTATATAGTGTATAATTAGTGTATATATAATGTATATATATAATCTAGAATTAGTGTATAATTAGTGTAAATATAAAGTGTATATACTATACATTGTGTTGACACTTTAGTGTATATAGTCTATATACTATATAATGTATATACACTATGTAGTGTATAATTAGTGTATAATTAGTGTAAATATAAAGTGTATATACTATACATTGTGTTGACATTTTAGTCTATATACTATATAATGTATATAATATGATGTATATACACTATATAGTGTATATTTAGAATGTATAATTATTGTATAATTATAATGTATAATTAGAATGTATAAACATTTTGTTGACACTTTAGTCTATATAATCTATATACTATATACTATGATGTATATACACTATATATTAAATATGTAGTGTATAATTATAATGTATAATTATAATGTATAATTAGAATGTATAATTAGAATGTATAAACATTTTGTTGACACTTTAGTCTATATAATCTACATACTATATAATATGATGTATATACACTATGTAGTGTATAATTATAAGGTATAATTATAAGGTATAATTAGAATGTATAAACATTTTGTTGACACTTTAACAGCTTCTGTCCACTGGAGCGGCTTCTCACGATGAAGATTTCAGAAGACGCCGTCGACTCGATTCCATTGGAACATTTACATTCCTCTACCGTCGATTCCTCAGACCCACAACCCTGTGGTGGGCAAGAGGAATCGATTATTTGAAGTCGGCACTCGTCGATTCCTAGCGTACGATTCGCTTCAGCACCAAGGACAGCGGCCGTAGCCGATTCGATTCGGAGGATATCGAAATTGCGATTCGACCGAGTCGATTCTTAGACTCATGCACGATTAATCGATTAACAATTGGTCAATTCTAATTCGGTCCCTATGACAGCAGGCGATTCGATTATATTCGATGATTTAGATGCCAGAGCGTCGATTCCACTGCTCACAACGCAAGCCTGGGGGGAGGGAATCGATTGTTTGAATCGAAATATTCGATTCCGAGAGGGCGGTTGCCATTCAGCACCAAGAATAGCGGTCATGGGCGATTCGGATCTCAGGAATTGATAAAATCGATTTCTCCCTGTCGATTCCGAGACACGCCGTAGGATTAGCCGTAGGAATCGCTCGCCGGAATGCAAACGGAAGGAATCGATTTCAGAATGCGACTCTTGAGTTGAGCGGTGGGTCGAATGGTTGGCACGCTGGGCCAAGCGATTCTGAGCATCGATCACGTTAATCGACCGAATCGATTGCAGCCCGCTACTGCAGCTGTCGCCCTCGGACAATCAGAGGCCGATGCTATTGGGGAATCGACGGTGTCGATTCCTGCCCCACGTATCCCTACGGGGAGAATCGATTTTGTTAATCGACGATCGATTTTGCCTGCTTAATGCTCGGCGATTCGCTTTGTTTCTCAGTGGAAGTGAATGGGCGGAATCGGGGAATCGTTGGACGATGGGAATCGAAGTATCGATTCTTCATGAAGGATGATGTCATCTGTACCACTCACCCACTCACTCACTCACCCACTCACTCACTCACCCACTCACCCACTCACTCACTCACCCACTCACCCACTCACTCACCCACTCACTCACCCACTCACTCACTCACCCACTCACTCACCCACTCATCCACCCACTCACTCACCCACTCACCCACTCACCCACTCACTCACCCACTCACTCACCCACTCACTCAATCACCCACTCAATCACTCACCCACTCACTCACTCACCCACTCACTCACCCACTCACTCACCCACTCACCCACTCACTCACCCACTTACGCACTCTTCCACCCACTCACTCACCCACTCCCTCACTCACTCACCCACTCACTCACTCACCCACTCACGCACTCTTCCATCCACTCACTCAACCACTCACTCACCCACTCACTCACTCACTCACCCACTCACTCACTCACCCACTCACTCACCCATTCACTCACTCACTCACCCACTCACTAAGTATATCTCACAATGATATATATATATTTTTATTGAATCCACTCCAGATAAAACACACAGCTAGTGACATAATCTCCTTGTATGTATCTCTATGAGTCTTTATGTATCTCTATGTATCTCTATGAGTCTCTATATATCTCTGTGTATCTCTATGTGTCTCTATGCATCTCTATGAGTCTCCATGTATCTCTATGTGTCTCTATGTATCTCTCTGTATCTCTATGGGTCTCTATCAGTCGATATGTATCTCTATGTATCTCTGAGTCTCTATGTATCTCTACGTATCTCTATGAGTCTATGTATCTCTATGTGTCTCTCTGAGTCTCTATGTATCTTTATGAGTCTCTATATATCTCTATGTATCTCTATGAGTCTCTATGTATCTCTATGAGTCTCCAGGAATCTCTATGTATCTCTATGAGTCTCTATATATCTCTATGTATCTCTATGAGTCTCTATATATCTCTGTGCATCTCTATGTGTCTCTATGCATCTCTATGAGTCTCCATGTATCTCTATGTGTCTCTATGTATCTCTCTGTATCTCTATGGGTCTCTATCAGTCGATATGTATCTCTATGTATCTCTGAGTCTCTATGTATCTCTACGTATCTCTATGAGTCTATGTATCTCTATGTGTCTCTCTGAGTCTCTATGTATCTTTATGAGTCTCTATATATCTCTATGTATCTCTATGAGTCTCTATGTATCTCTATGAGTCTCCAGGAATCTCTATGTATCTCTATGAGTCTCTATATATCTCTATGCATCTCTATGAGTCTCTATGTATCTCTGTATCTCTATGAGTCTCTATGGGTCCCTATGAGTCTCTATGGGTCTCTATGAGTCTCTATATATATCTGAGTCTCTATGATTCTCTATGTATCTCTATATATCTCTATGTATCTCTATGTATCTCTATGAGTCTCTATGTATCTCTATATGTATATAATTGATTATATTATTGAGTATATATGAGTGTATATAGAGTATTGATTATGTTTGTATATTATTTCACCAGCGCTGTCACACAGAGACAAAGATGACCAAGGTAGCCTCTATCAGGGCTGTAAGGGCAAGTGGAGTGAGTGAGTGGGTGGGTGAGTGAGGTGGGTGAGTGAGTGAGTGGGTGGGTGGGTGAGTGAGTAGGTGAGTGAGTGAGTGGATGGGTGACTGAGTGAGTGAGTGAGGTGGGTGGGTGAGTGAGTGAGTGAGGGGGTGAGTGAGTGAGTGGCTGAGTGAGTGGTTGAGTGAGGTTGGTGGGTGGGTGAGTGAGTGAGTGGGTGGGTGAGTGAGTGAGGGGGTGAGTGAGTGGGTGAGTGAGTGAGGGGGTGAGTGAGTGGGTGAGTGAGTGGGTGAGTGAGGTTGGTGGGTGGGTGAGTGAGTGAGTGGGTGGGTGAGTGAGTGAGTGAGGGGGGTGAGTGAGTGGGTGAGTGAGTGGGTGAGTGAATGAGTGAGTGAGGGGGTGAGTGAGTGGGTGAGTGAGTGAGTGGGTGAGTGAGTGAGTGGGTGAGTGAGTGAGTGGGTGGGTGAGTAAGGTTGGTGGGTGGGTGAGTGAGTGGGTGGGTGAGTGAGTGAGTGAGTGAGGGGGTGAGTGAGTGGGTGAGTGAGTGAGTGGGTGAGTGAGTGAGTGGGTGAGTGAGTGAGTGGGTGAGTGAGTGAGTGGGTGAGTGAGTGAGTGGGTGAGTGAGTGGGTGAGTGGGTGAGTGAGTGAGTGAGGTGGGTGGGTGGGTGGGTGAGTGAGTGAGTGGGTGAGTGGGTGAGTGAGTGAGGTGGGTGAGGTGAGTGAGTGGGTGAGTGAGTGAGGTGGGTGGGTGGGTGAGTGAGTGAGTGGGTGAGTGGGTGAGTGAGTGGGTGAGTGGGTGAGTGAGTGAGTGAGGTGGGTGGGTGGGTGGGTGAGTGAGTGAGTGGGTGAGTGAGTGGGTGAGTGGGTGAGTGAGTGGGTGAGTGAGTGAGGGGGTGAGTGAGTGGATGAGTGGGTGGGTGGGTGAGTGAGTGAGGTGGGTGAGTGAGGTGGGTGAGTGAGGTGGGTGAGTGAGTGAGTGGGTGAGTGGGTGAGTGAGTGAGTGAGGTGGGTGGGTGGGTGAGTGAGTGAGGTGGGTGGGTGGGTGGGTGAGTGAGTGAGTGGGTGAGTGAGTGGGTGAGTGGGTGAGTGAGTGGGTGAGTGAGTGAGGGGGTGAGTGAGTGAGTGAGTGGATGGGTGACTGAGTGAGTGAGTGAGGTGGGTGGGTGAGTGAGTGAGGGGGTGAGTGAGTGAGTGAGTGGCTGAGTGAGTGGTTGAGTGAGGTTGGTGGGTGGGTGAGTGAGTGAGTGGGTGGGTGAGTGAGTGAGGGGGTGAGTGAGTGGGTGAGTGAGTGAGGGGGTGAGTGAGTGGGTGAGTGAGTGGGTGAGTGAGGTTGGTGGGTGGGTGAGTGAGTGAGTGGGTGGGTGAGTGAGTGAGTGAGGGGGGTGAGTGGGTGAGTGAGTGGGTGAGTGAGTGGGTGAGTGAGGGGGTGAGTGAGTGGGTGAGTGAGTGAGTGGGTGAGTGAGTGAGTGAGTGGGTGAGTGAGTGGGTGGGTGAGTAAAGTGGGTGAGTGAGTGGGTGGGTGAGTGAGTGAGTGAGGGGGTGAGTGAGTGGGTGAGTGAGTGAGTGGGTGAGTGAGTGAGTGGGTGAGTGAGTGGGTGAGTGAGTGAGTGAGTGGGTGAGTGGGTGAGTGAGTGAGTGAGGTGGGTGGGTGGGTGGGTGAGTGAGTGAGTGGGTGAGTGAGTGGGTGAGTGGGTGAGTGAGTGAGTGAGGTGGGTGGGTGGGTGGGTGAGTGAGTGAGTGGGTGAGTGGGTGAGTGAGTGAGGTGGGTGAGGTGAGTGAGTGGGTGAGTGAGTGAGGTGGGTGGGTGGGTGAGTGAGTGAGTGGGTGAGTGGGTGAGTGAGTGGGTGAGTGGGTGAGTGAGTGAGTGAGGTGGGTGGGTGGGTGGGTGAGTGAGTGGGTGAGTGAGTGGGTGAGTGGGTGAGTGAGTGGGTGAGTGAGTGAGGGGGTGAGTGAGTGGATGAGTGGGTGGGTGGGTGAGTGAGTGAGGTGGGTGAGTGAGGTGGGTGAGTGAGGTGGGTGAGTGAGTGAGGGGGTGAGTGTGTGGATGAGTGAGTGAGGTGGGTGAGTGAGTGAGTGAGTGGGTGAGTGAGTGGGTGAGTGAGTGAGGTGGGTGAGTGAGTGAGTGAGTGGGTGAGTGAGTGAGTGGGTGAGTGAGTGGATGAGTGAGTGAGTGAGTGGATGAGTGAGTGAGTGAGTGGGTGAGTGAGTGAGTGGATGAGTGAGTGAGTGGGTGAGTGAGTGGGTGAGTGAGTGAGTGGGTGAGTGAGTGAGTGGGTGAGTGAGTGAGTGGATGAGTGAGTGAGTGGGTGAGTGAGTGAGGTGGGTGAGTGAGTGGGTGAGTGAGTGAGTGGATGAGTGAGTGAGTGGGTGAGTGAGTGGGTGAGTGAGTGAGTGGGTGAGTGAGTGAGTGGGTGAGTGAGTGAGTGGATGAGTGAGTGAGTGGGTGAGTGAGTGGGTGAGTGAGTGAGTGGGTGAGTGAGTGAGTGGATGAGTGAGTGAGTGGGTGAGTGAGTGGGTGAGTGAGTGAGTGGGTGAGTGAGTGAGTGGGTGAGTGAGTGAGTGGATGAGTGAGTGAGTGGGTGAGTGAGTGAGGTGGGTGAGTGCTTACAGCTCCTCACTCTCAACCAACGGCATGGAGCCAAATGTCGCCCCAAAGTTTGCCGAACGTCGCCCGAACGTCGCTCGAACGTCCAACCCCAACTTTGAGAGGGCGGCGTAAGGGGAGTTTGGGGGCGGGGCCGCGAGGCGTGGGGCGTGGCCAGAAGCCCCCACGTGGTACAGGGGGCGGGGCTCTGGGGTGGGGGGAGGGAGAGAGAGAACGCAGATCCACTCACTCACCACTCACTCACCACTCACACACTCACTCACTGAAAACTCACTCACTCACCACCCACTCATTCACCACCCACTCACTCACCACTCACTCACTCACCCACCACTCACTAACCACTCACTCACCCACTCACTCACTCACTTACTCACCACTCACTCACTCACCACTCACTCACTCACTCACCCACTCACTCACTGAAAACTCACTCACTCACCACCCACTCATTCACCACCCACTCACTCACCACTCACTCACTCACTCACCCACCACTCACTCACTCACCCACTCACCCACTCACCCACCACTCACTCACTCACCGACTCACCCACTAACTCACTCACCCACTCACCCACTAATTCACTCACCCACTCACCCACTAACTCACTCACCCACTAACTCACTCACCCACTCACTCACTCACCACTCACTCACTCACCCACTCACTCACTCACCACTCACTCACTCACTCACCCACTCACTCACACGCTCACTCAACCACTCACTCACTCACCCACCCACCCACTCAATCACCCACTCACCCACTCACTCACCCACTCACTCACCTACTCACCCACTAACTCACTCACCCACTCACTCACTCACCACTTACTCACCCACTCACTCACTCACCACTCACTCACCCACTCACTCACTCACCCTCTCACCCACTCACTCACTCACTCAAACACTCACTCACTCACTCACCCACCCACCCACTCACCACTCACTCACTCACTCACCACTCACTCACTCACTCACCGACTCACTCACTCACCCACTCACTCACCCACTCACTCACCCACCGACTCACTCACTCAACCACTCACTCACTCACTCACCCACCCAGCCACCCACTAACTCACTCACCACTCATTCACTCACTCACACACCCACTCACTCACCACTCACACACACACCCACTCACTCACCACTCACACACTCACTCACTCACCCACTCACTCACCGACTCACTCACTCACCCACCCACTCACTCACTCATTCACTCACCCACTCACCCACTCACTCACCACTCACTCATCCACTCACTCACTCACCACTCACTCACTCAATCACCCACTCACTCACTCACTCACCGACTCACTCACCCACTCACCCACTCACTCACTCACCGACTCACTCACTCACTCACCCACTCAACCAATCACTTACTCACCCACTCACTCACTCACCACTCACTCACCTCTCACTCACCCACTCACCACTCACTCACCACTCACTCACTCACCCACTCACCACTCACCACTCACTCACCCACCCACTCACCACTCACTCACCCACTCACTCACCCACCACTCACTCACCACTCACTCACGCACTCACTCACTCACTCAACCACCCACTCACCCACTCACCCACAACTCACTCACCACTCACTCACCCACTCACCACTCACTCACCATTCACCCACCACTCACTCACCCACTCATTCACCAACTCACTCACCCACTCATTCACTCACCACTGACTCACCCACTCACCCACTCACCTAGCACTCACTCACCACTCACTCACGCACTCACTCACCCACTCACCACTCACTCACCCACTCACTCACCCACTCACTCACCCACTCACCCACCCACTCACCCACTCACTAACCACTCACTCACCCACTCACTCACCCACTCACTCACTCACCCACTCACTCACTCACCCACTCACTCACCACTCACTCACCCACTCACCCACTCGCTCACTCACCATTCACTCACCCACTCAATCACTCACTCACCCACTCACTCTCCACTCACTCACCCACCCACTCACTCACCCACCCACTCATTCACGCACTCACTCACTCACGCACCCACTCACACACCCACTCACTCACTCACCCACCCACCCACTCACTCACCCACTCACTCACTCACTCACCCACTCACTCACTCACTCACCCACTCACCCACTCACGCACTCACTCACCCACCCACTCACTCACCCACCCACTCTCCACCACTCACTCACTCACTAACTCCTTCACCCACCCACTCACTCACCCACCCACTCACCCACCCACCCACCCACTCACCCACTCACTCACCCATCACCCACTCACTCACCCATCACCCACTCACTCACTCATCCACCCACTCACTCACTCACTAACCCACTCACCACCCACTCACTCACTTACTCACCCACTCACTCACTCACCACTTACTCACCACTCACCCACCCACTCACCCACTCACTCACTTACCACCCACTCACCCACTCACTAACCACTCACTCACTCACCACTCACTCACCACTCACCCACTCACTCACTCACTCACCCACCCACCCACTCACTAACTCACCCATCCACCCACTCACTCACCCACCCACTCACTCACCCACTCATTCACGCACTCACTCACGCACCCACGCACACACCCACTCACTCACTCACCCGCCCACTCACTCACTCACTCATCCACTCACCACCCACTCACTCACCCACTAACTCACTCACTCACCCATCCACTCACCACCCACTCACTCACTCACCCACTCACCCACTCACTCACTCACCCACTCACTCACTCACCCACTCACCCACCCACTCACTCACCCACTCACCCACCCACTCACTCACCCACCCACTCACTCACCCACCCACTCACTCACTCAACCAGTCACCCAACCACTCACTAACCCACTCACCACTCACCCACTCACTCACTCACTCACCCATCCACTCACCACCCACCCACTCACTCACCCTCTCACTCACTCACTCACCCATCCACTCACCACCCACTCACTCACTCACCCACTCACCCACTCACTCACTCACTCACCCACCCACTCACTCACCCACCCACTCACTCACCCACCCAATCACTCACTCACCCACTCACTCAATCAACCAGTCACCCAACCACTCACTAACCCACTCACCACCAACTCACTCACTCACTCACCACTCACTCACCCACTCACTCACCCACCCACTCACTCACTCACCCACTCACCACTCACTCACCCACTCACTCACCCACTCACTAACTCACCCATCCACCCACTCACTCACGCACCCACTCACACACTCACTCACCCGCCCACTCACCCACTCACTCACACACTCACTCACTCACCCATCCACTCACTCACCCATCCACTCACTCACCCACTCACCCACTCACTCACCCACTCACTCACCCACTCACTCACTCACCCACTCACCCATCCACTCACTCACCCACCCAATCACTCACTCACTCACTCAACCAGTCACCCACCCACTCACTAACCCACTCACCACCCACTCACTCACTCACTCACCCACTCACTCACCACTCACTCACCCACTCACTCACTGACCCATCCACTCACCACCCACCCACCCACCCACTCACTCACCCACTCACCCACTCACCACCCACTCACTCACTCACTCACCCACCCACTCAGCAACTCACTCACTCACTCACAACTCACCCACCCACTCACTCACCACCAACCCACCCACTCACTCACTGACTCATCCACTCACCACCCACCCACCCACTCGCTCACTCACCACTCACCCAGCCACTCACCCACTCATGCACCCACTCACACACCCACTCACACACACACTCACTCACTCACCCGCCCACTCACTCACTCACCCACTAACTCACCCACTCACCCACTCACTCACCCACCCACCCACCCACTCATCACCCACTCACCCACCCACTCACTCACTCACCCACCCAATCACTCACTCACCCACTCAGTCACCCACCCACTCACTAACCCACTCACCACCCACTCACTCACTCACCCACTCACTCACTCTCCACTCACCCACCCACTCACCCACTCACTCACCACTCACCCACCCACTCACTAACCCACTCACCACCCACTCACTCACTCACTCACCCACTCACTCACCACCCACTCACCCACTCACTCACTGACCCATCCACTCACCACCCACCCACCCACCCACTCACCCACTCACCCACTCACCACCCACTCACTCACTGACTCACCCACCCACTCAGCACCCACTCACTAACCCACTCACCACCCACTCACTCACTCACCCACTCACTCACTCTCCACTCACCCACCCACTCACCCACTCACTCACCACTCACCCACTCACTCACTAACCCACTCACCACCCACTCACTCACTTACCCACTCACTCACTCTCCACTCACCCACCCACTCACCCACTCACTCACCACTCACCCACTCACTCACCACCAACCCACTCACCAACCCACTCACCCACGACGTCCAGTCTAGCAGTGGAGAGAGCACTCCCTGCCGAGTTGATGGCCGACGCCGTGAACCAGCCAGCATCGCTCACCACCACGTCGCTCACCACGATGGTGATCTCACCACCATCACTCACCATCACCCTGGCACGACATCACCACCAACATCACCACCAACATCACCACCACCATCACCACCATCACCACCATCACCACCGTCATTATCACCACCACCATCACCACCATCACCACCAACATCCCCACCATCACCATCACTACCACCACCACCACCATCACCACCATCACCACCAACATCATCACTACTATCATCATCACTTCCATCATCACCACCACCATCACCATCATCACCACCACCATCACCAACATCACCACCACCATCACCACCACCAACATCACCATCACCACCACCAACATCACCACCACCATCATCATCACCAACAACATCACCACTATCATCACCACCATCATCACCGTCACCACCATTATCACCATCACCACCAACATCATCACCATCACCACCAACATCATCACCACCATCATCACCACCATCACCACCACCATCACCACCATCATCATCACTCCCATCATCACCATCACCACCATCATCACCGTCACCACCATCATCACCACCAACATCATCACCACCATTACCACCATGACCACCACCATCACTACCATCATCACCATCACCACCATCAACATCACCACCATCACCACCACCATCATCACCATCATCACCAACAACATCACCACCATCATCATCACTTCCATCATCACCACCAACATCACCATCATCACCACCAACATCATCATCATCATCACCATCACCACCAACAACATCATCACCATCACCACCAACACCGTTACCACCACCATCACCATCATCACCACCAACATCACCAACATCACCACCTTCATCACCATCACCACCAACATCACCACCATCACCACCATCATCACCACCATCACCACCAACATCACCACCACCATCACCACCACCAACATCACCATCACCACCACCAACATCACCACCACCAACATCACCACCATCACCACCAACATCACCACCATCACCACCAACTTCACCACCATCACCACGATCACCACCATCATCATCACCATCACCACCACCATCACCAACATCGTGGTGGGTAAGTGAGTAAGTGGGTGCGTAAGTGGGTGAGTGAGATGGCGAGTGGGTGAGTGAGATGGTGAGTGAGATGGTGAGTGAGATGGTGAGTGAGATGGTGAGTGGGTGAGTGAGATGGTGAGTGAGATGGTGAGTGAGATGGTGAGTGGGTGAGTGAGATGGTGAGTGGGTGAGTGAGAAGGTGAGTGAGATGGTGAGTGAGATGGTGAGTGGCTGAGTGAGATGGTGAGTGAGATGGTGAGTGAGATGGTGAGTGGGTGAGTGAGATGGTGAGTGGGTGAGTAAGATGGTGAGTGAGATGGTGAGTGAGATGGTGAGTGAGATGGCGAGTGGGTGAGTAAGATGGTGAGTGAGATGGTGAGTGAGATGGTGAGTGAGATGGTGAGTGGGTGAGTGAGATGGTGAGTGAGATGGTGAGTGAGATGGTGAGTGGCTGAGTGAGATGGTGAGTGAGATGGTGAGTGAGATGGTGAGTGGGTGAGTGAGATGGTGAGTGGGTGAGTAAGATGGTGAGTGAGATGGTGAGTGGGTGAGTGAGATGGTGAGTGGGTGAGTGGGTGAGTGAGATGGTGAGTGAGATGGTGAGTGGGTGAGTGAGATGGTGAGTGGGTGAGTGGGTGAGTGAGATGGTGAGTGAGATGGTGAGTGGGTGAGTGAGATGGTGAGTGGGTGAGTGAGATGGTGAGTGAGATGGTGAGTGAGATGGTGAGTGAGATGGCGAGTGGGTGAGTAAGATGGTGAGTGAGATGGTGAGTGAGATGGTGAGTGGGTGAGTGAGATGGTGAGTGGGTGAGTGAGATGGTGAGTGAGATGGTGAGTGAGATGGTGAGTGAGATGGTGAGTGAGTAAGATGGTGAGTGAGATGGTCAGTGAGATGGTGAGTGAGATGGTGAGTGAGATGGTGAGTGAGATGGTGAGTGGCTGAGTGAGATGGTGAGTGAGATGGTGAGTGGCTGAGTGTACGCTCACCTCACCCGCTCACCACACAGGGCTTGGTTGTCTTTCCTCACCACGACGCTGGGTCTGGGCGTGCCCGTGACTCTGGCCCGGAATTCTGCTCGCTCACCACTCCTCACCACCACGCTCACCAGGCGCTGGTGGAACTCCGGCGGGGTGAGCACTGGGCGGGCTGTTGGTGAGTGGGGGGGTGAGTGGGAGGTGAATGGTGAGTGAGTGAGTGAGTGGTGAGTGGTGAGTGAGTGAGTGGGGGGTGAGTGGGGGGTGAATGGTGAGTGGTGAGTGAGTGGGCGAGTGAGTGAGTGAGTGGGTGAGTGGGGGGTGAGTGAGTGGTGAGTGAGTGGGCGAGTGAGTGAGTGAGTGGGTGAGTGGTGAGTGAGTGAGTGGGTGAGTGAGTGAGTGGGCGAGTGAGTGAGTGAGTGGGTGAGTGGTGAGTGAGTGAGTGGGTGAGTGAGTGAGTGGGTGAGTGGTGAGTGGGTGAGTGGTGAGTGAGTGAGTGGTGAGTGAGTGGGTGAGTGGTGAGTGAGTGGGTGAGTGGTGAGTGAGTGAGTGAGAGAGTTGGTGGGGGGGTAGTGGGGGGTGAGTGAGTGGTGAGTGAGTGAGTGGGTGAGTGAGTGGTGAGTGAGTGGTGAGTGAGTGAGTGGGTGAGTGGTGAGTGAGTGGGTGAGTGGGTGAGTGAGTGAGTGAGAGAGTGGGTGGGGGGTGAATGGTGAGTGGTGAGTGAGTGAGTGGGTGAGTTAGTGGTGAGTGAGTGAGTGGTGAGTGAGTGAGTGGGTGAGTGAGTGAGTGAGTGGGTGAGTGAGTGAGTGAGTGGGTGAGTGAATGGGTGAGTGGTGAGTGGGGGATGAGTGGTGAGTGAGTGAGTGGGTGAGTGAGTGGGTGAGTGAGCGAGTGAGTGGTGAGTTTGTGACTGAGTGAGTTGGTGAGTGGGTGAGTGAGTGGGTGAGTGGGTGGGGGATGAGTGGGGGGTGAGTGAGTGGGTGACTGAGTTGGTGAGTGAGTTGCTGAGTGAGTGAGTGTAACTATCTCTGTGTGTCTATGTGTGTGTGTCTATGTGTGTGTCTATGTGTGTGTCTATGTGTGTGTGTGTGTCTATGTGTGTGTGTCTATCTGCAGGTTATCAGACAGGCGAGTGTGTCTATGTGTGTGTGTGTCTATGTGTGTGTGTGTATGTCTATGTGTAGCGGTTAGCGCGCTGCACTATGAACCTGGCGACCCGGGTTCGATTCCCGCTCACGGCCAACACCAGTGACGATTATCTGAACCGGTCCCGGGCCTCCCCTAGGTCGACTCAGCCTCAAATGAGTACCTGGTGCGGTGTGTAAACATCGCCACTAGGGAGACAAAGGCGGTCGGGCGTGGTGCTGGCCACCCACCCCCTCGTGTACCGTTCCGGCCTTCATAGGTGCTCGCTAACAGCACTTGCCCCTCCAGTCTGTTACAGGCTATATGGGGGATCTTTGTGTGTCACTGTAGTTGTAGTTTCGTGGTAATTAATTGAAGGTGGAGGGGTTACCAGCCCCTCGCACCCGTCCAGAGCCCCCGTTTAGCCCCTGTGGTGGTCACAGACGCCATGAGGGGAGGAGCCAATCGGAATTGGCCCTCCCCCCACAGCATTGTCCACGACAGAGTTGCCCGTCCGGCACCGCGAGGAGGTAGGGGGTTGTTTTTTGCCGTTTGGCCACGTGGAATGTCCGAAGGCTCACTGCGGAGGAGAGGCTGCCACTCCTCCGTCGGGAGCTGGACCGGTACCGCCTGGATCTATGCGGCATTCAGGAGGTCCGGTGGACCGGCTCTGGCTCCTGCCACCATGAGGGGTGGACAGTCCTCTACTCGGGGCAGCAGACTGCCAAACAACAGGGTGTGGGTCTTCTTTTCAACAAAAGAATGAAGGGGGCGTGGGAGCGTTGCGGTGAGGTGTGGGAAGCTGTAAGTCCCAGGCTACTTTGGGCTCGCCTTCCCATCAACCAGAGGCGAGGAATGGTGGTCGTGGTTACTTATGCCCCCACCGAAGATGAACATCCGTGGAGGGATGCAGGCAAAGCCGATGAGTCAGATACCTTCTATGACCTTAAGTCACAGGTGCTGGCTAAAGTGGCCCCTCGGGATAGAGTCATCAAGTTGGGTGACTTCAATGCCCGAGTTGGTCATGATGCTGGCACCTGGTCTGGAGTGATTGGAGGTCATGGGCCAGATCAGCTCAATAACAACGGTAGGAGGCTGCTAGATTTTTGTGCAGCCCATGGGCTTGTAATTACCAACACGCTGTTCCGGTATCGGCGCATCCACACAACATCATGGATGCATGCCGGGTCCAAGCAAGAACATCTGCTGGACTACATAGTGGCAGATCAGCGGATGTGAGCCCTTGTCCTTGACACCAGAACCTACCGTGGAGCTGATCTGCCCTCTGACCATCGACTTGTCATCTGTAAGATGCGCCTGCCATTCTTCCACTCCGGTGGTGGGTGTACACCCAGGACCCCATTCCAACCTAAAGTGGCCTGGTCTCAGTTATCTGATGAAAGTTGCAAGCGAGAATTTCATCATCGCTTGCGGCTGGGATTGGCATCGTCCCCGACTCCTCCTGATGTCGAGGGTAAATGGGCGAGGTTTAGGACTGTGACTCATGCAGCTGCAATGGCTGCTTTGGGTACGCGGTCCAGACCTCCCCAGACACCCTGGCTGACAGAGGAGGTGTTCAGGATGGTTGAGAAAAAGCGACAGGCCCACTGTCATCGGCTACAGAATGCCACGTCAGAGAATGAGGAGGATTACAGCAGCCTTCGCTCGGAGGTTCGGAGAGCCGTGAGGCGCTGCAAGGATGGATGGTGGTCGCGGGTTGCTGAGGAGATGGAGTCTGCCTCAGTGGCCCGTGATCACAAATCTCTATTTAACTCCATCAAAAAAGTAACCTGCAGCGCCACACCTATTACCATCATTAGGGGAAAAAACGGTGATCCAATCTCCGACCCCCAGGAACAGGTTTGCAGATTTGCTGAGCATTTCTGTGAGATCCTGGGGGAGGGAAAATCCCACAGCCAGGAAAACATCGTGGCACAAAGTGAGAATGACCCTGCTGAGGCTGCGGTGCCTCAAATATTGGAAGAAGTCACCCCCTGTGAGTGGCTGGCTGAGGTGCCATCTGTTAAGGAAGTACTGAGGGCGATCCGAAGTCTGAGATCAGGAAAGGCAGCGGGCAAAGATGATCTCCCAAGCGAAATGCTGAGGGAGGGTGGCATTTGTGCACAGACTGTCCTATATGACATCATAACAACAGTGTGGACCACTGGACGGGTTCCGCAGGATTGGAAGGATGCCCTGGTGGTCCCCTTTTTAAGAAGGGGGACCGCACAGACTGTAACAACTACAGGGGCATTTCACTCCTCAGTGTTTCCCGGGAAAGGTCCTGGCAAGGATTATTCAGCATCGCCTTGCCAGGCACGCTGAGGAGAGGCTTGCAGAGCCCCAATGCGGTTTCAGGAAAGGGCGATCCTGCACAGATGCCATTTTTTCTGTCCGTCTGCTACAGCAGAGGTGTAGGGAATTCCAACAAGACCTACATCTCTGCTTTATTGACCTGGTCAAGGCCTATGATACCATCAGTAGGTCTGGGCTCTGGGTTGTTCTTCGTGCTTTTGGAGTACCTGACGCTCTGCTCACGATCATTAAGGACCTTCATGATGGTGAGCGGGCCCGGGTAAAACTACGTGGCTGGGAGTCAGAGCCATTCCCTGTACACCTTGGGGTGCGACAGGGATGTCCTCTGGCTCCCACATTATTTAACATCTATTTTGACCACGTAGTTCGTGAAGCCTTCAATAGCTGTACCGGGGGAATCTCCATATGGTACAGATATAATGGGAGGCTAATCGATGCCCGGGTGCGGTCAAGGGATGGCTCCCTATTGCTCAACCACGTTATGTTTGCTGATGATTTGGTAATAGCTGCTCAGTCAGAGGAGGAGTTGGAGACGCTGCTGCTGAGACTGGAGCGTGCCACTAAGAGGTGGGGGCCTTACCATCAGCCCCACCAAAACTAAGCACCTGCCTGGGTATTTTGTACCATCGGACACTCCACCCCCACAACTCCCAATCGGTGATGGGACAGTTGTGGAGAGAGTGGAGAGTTTCCCATACCTGGGCAGTGTGCTTATGACTGGCTCCAGTTTAACAGCAGAGGTCTCACTCCGAATCAGTCGAGCCGCAATATCTTTTCATCGGTTGCGTAACGCTGTGTGGAAGCTACCTGGTCTGTCGCTCCGCACTAAGCTTCAGGTCTTCTCGGCCACGGTCATTCCCTCCCTTCTCTACACTTGCGAAACGTGGACCCCCCTAATGGAACATCTTCGCCGGTTAGAAACATTTAGGCTGGCCTGCCTACGATCCATCCTGGGTTTAACCAGACTGGATTGTGTGAGGAGCTCACAAATCCTTGACAGATCTGGGCAAGGTCCCATCGGTGAGCTCCTCCAGCGGGCAAGGCTGCGATGGCTGGGTCATGTAGCCCGCATGCCCAGCCACCGCATGCCGAAACAGCTTTAGTTCGGCCGGATCGAGGGGGCTAAACGGGCGCGGCACGGGCTAGAGAAGAGATGGAGTGTTGTGGTACAGGAGGACGTGGAGCTGAGTGGACTTGCCGATGACTGGTACCAGCGGTGTCAAGATCGGCCTCTGTGGAGGAGGCTCGTGAAGGATGCTACTGGGCAGTTGGAGGTAGTCGCCACTTAGTGGCGAATGGCGGTTGTTGTTGTTGTATCTCTGTGTGTGTATCACTGTGTGTGTGTATCTCTGTCTGTGTGTATCACTGCGTGTGTGTATCTGTGTGTGTGTGTATATCTGCGTGTGTATCTCTGTGTGTGTATCTCTGTGTGTGTATCACTTTGTGTGTATCACTGTGTGTGTGTATCTCTGTGTGTGTGTGTCACTGTGTGTGTATCTCTGTGTGTGTATCACTGTGTGTGTATCTCTGTGTGTGTATCACTGTGTGTGTGTATCTCTGTCTGTGTGTATCACTGTGTGTGTGTATCTGTGTGTGTGTATCACTGTGTGTGTGTGTATCACTGTGTGTATCTCTGTGTGTGTGTATCACTGTGTGTGTATCTGTGTGTGTGTATCTCTGTGTGTGTGTATCTCTGTGTTTGTGTATGTCTGTGTGTGCGTATATATAGGTGTATGTAACTATATATCTCTATGTATATCTGTGTATATCTCTGTGTATCTATATATATCTGTGTATCTCTATGTATCTTTGTGTATATCTCTGTGTATCTCTATGTATATCTGTGTATCTATATATATATCTCTATATATCTCTATATATCTCTCTGTGCATCTCTATATATCTCTATGTATATATGTATATCTCTATGTATCTCTATGTATATCTGTGTATCTCTATATATCTCTATGTATATCTGTGTATCTATATATATATCTCTATATATCTCTGTGTATCTCTATATATCTCTATGTATATCTGTGTATATCTCTGTGTATCTCTATATATCTCTATGTATCTCTATGTCTATCTGTGTATATCTGTGTATCTATATATATTTCTATATATCTCTATATATCTCTGTGTATATCTCTGTGTATCTATATATCTCTGTGTATCTCTATGTATATCTGTATCTATATATCTCTATATATCTCTGTGTATCTCTATATATCTCTATGTATCTATGTGTATATCTCTGTGTATATCTCTGTATATCTCTGTATATCTGTGTATATCTGTGTATTTATATATATCTGTGTATCTCTATATATCTCTATGTATCTATATATATCTGTGTATCTCTAAATATCTCTATGTATCTCTGTGTATCTCTCTGTGTATCTCTATATATCTCTATGTATCTATATATATATCTATATATCTCTGTATCTCTATGTATATCTGTGTATATCTCTGTGTATCTCTATATCTATCTGTGTATCTCTATATATCTCTATATATCTCTGTGTATATCTGTGTATATCTCTGTGCATCTACATATCTCTGTATATCTATCTGTGTATATCTCTGTGTGTATCTCTGTTTATCTCTGTGTATATCTCTGTGTATATCTCTGTATATATAATCAATATATCTCTATATATCTGTGTATATCTCTGTATATATATCTCTATATATCTCTATATATCTCTGTGTATATCTCTGTGTATCTCTATGTATCTAATAATCTCTGTATATCTATATATATCTATATGTTCTCTATATATCTCTGTGTATATCTATCTCTATATATCTCTGTGTATATCTCTGTGTATATATCTCTGTGTATATATCTATCTATATATCTCTGTGTATATCTCTGTGTATATATCTATCTATATATCTCTGTGTATATATCTATCTCTCTGTGTATCTATATCTCTATGTATCTCTGTGTATATCTCTGTGTATCTACATATCTCTGTATATCTATATATATCTATATATATCTCTATTTATCTCTGTGTATCTATATATATCTCTGTGTATATCTATCTCTGTATCTCTGTGTATATCTCTGTATATCTCTGTGTATCTCTGTGTATATCTCTGTGTATATATCTATCTGTGTATATCTCTGTGTATCTCTATATATATCTTTATATATCTCTGTGTATATCTCTTTGTATATATCTATATATATTTATATATCTCTGTGTATATCTCTGTGTATCTATATATATCTCTATGTATATATCTATATATCTCTGTGTATATCTCTGTATCTATCTCTGTGTATCCCTATATATCTCTATATATCTCTATGTATCTCTGTGTATATCTCTGTGTATATCTCTCTATATATCTCTGTATATCTCTGTGTATCTCTATATATCTCTGTGTATATCTCTATATATCTGTGTATATCTCTGTATATCTCTCTGTGTATATCTCTGTATCTCTATATATCTCTGTGTATATATCTCTGTGTGTATCTCTGTGTGTATCTCTGTGTATCTATATATCTATCATTCTGTGTATATATCTATCTGTGTATCTCTCTGTATCTATCTCTGTGTATATCTCTGTGTATATATCTATCTCTGTGTATCTCTATATATGTCTATATATCTCTATATATCTCTGTGTATATCTCTGTGTATCAATATATATCTCTGTGTGTATCTCTGTGTATCTATATCTCTATATATCTATCTGTGTATATCTATCTCTGTGTGTATCTCTCTGTATCTCTCTCTGTGTGTATCTCTGTGTATCTCTATATGTCTATATATATATATCTCTGTGTGTATCTCTGTGTATATATCTCTATATATCTCTATGTATCTCTCTATATCTCTATATATATCTCTGTGTATATCTCTGTGTATCTCTCTGTATATATCTGTGTATCTATATATCTCTATATCTATATATATCTCTGTGTATCTCTATATATCTATCTGTGTATATCTATATCTCTATATATCTCTGTGTATATCTCTGTGTGTGTATCTCTGTGTATATATATATCTCTATATCTCTATATATCTCTGTGTATATCTCTGTGTGTGTATCTCTGTGTATCTATATATCTATCATTCTGTGTATATCTCTATGTATATCTGTGTATCTCTCTGTGTATATATCTCTATGTGTATATCTCTGTGTATATATCTCTGTGTATATCTATATATCTCTATGTATCTCTCTATATATATCTCTGTGTGTATCTCTGTGTATCTATATCTCTATATATCTATCTGTGTATATCTATCTCTGTGTGTATCTCTCTGTGTATCTCTCTCTGTGTGTATCTCCGTGTATATCTCTGTGTATATCTCTGTGTATATCTCTGTGTATATCTATGTATCTCTGTGTATCTATATATCTATCATTCTGTGTATATCTCTATGTATATCTGTGTATATCTCTGTGTATGTATCTCTCTGTGTGTATCTCTGTGTATCTATATATCTATCATTCTGTGTATATCTATCTCTATATATATATCTATCTGTGTATGTATCTCTCTGTGTGTATCTCTGTGTATATCTCTGTATATATCTGTGTATCTATATATCTCTATATCTATCTCTGTGTATCTATCTCTGTGTATCTCTCTCTGTGTATCTCTCTCTGTGTGTATCTCTGTGTATCTATATATCTCTATATCTCTGTGTATCTCTCTGTGTGTGTATCTCTCTGTGTGTATCTCTGTGTATCTATATCTCTATATATCTCTGTGTATCTCTCTGTGTGTGTATCTCTGTGTATCTATATATCTCTATATCTCTGTGTATCTCTCTGTGTGTGTATCTCTCTGTGTGTATCTCTGTGTATCTATATATCTCTATGTATATCTCTATATCTATCTCTGTGTATCTCTCTCTGTGTGTATCTCTGTGTATCTATATCTCTATATATCTATCTGTGTATGTATCTCTCTCTCTGTGTGTATCTCCGTGTATATCTCTGTGTATATATCTCTGTGTATATATCTCTGTATGTCTGTGTATATCTCTGTGTATATATATCTCTATATCTATATATCTCTATATATCTCTATATCTATCTCTGTGTGTGTATCTCTCTGTGTGTATCTCTGTATCTCTATATATCTCTATCTATCTCTGTGTATATATATATCTATATATCTCTATGTATATCTCTATCTCTATATCTTTATCTATCTGTGTATCTCTCTCTGTGTGTATCTCTGTGTATCTATATATCTATCATTCTATGTATATCTCTATATATATATCTATCTGTGTATGTATCTCTCTCTGTGTGTATCTCTGTGTATATATATTTCTATATCTATATATCTCTATATTTATCTCTCTGTATGTATCTCTGTGTGTGTATCTCCGCGCGTGTTCGTCTCTGGAGATATTCACGCAGAACCCGCAGCCGCAGCAGCGTTGAGGCGGTGCCGGCGGTGTTGGCGGCGACGCAGATAAACGTTCCGGAGTGGGACCTCTCGCAGGGCGCGGCGAGCAGCGAGTGGAGGCCGCTACGCTCGCTCACCACGGAGCGCAGCTGGCGGGCGCCCTCACCCCCCAGGGCACTACCCAGGGCACTACCCAGGGCACTACCCAGGGCACTACCCACGACACTACCCAGGGCACTACCCAGGGGGGTGGGGGTGGTGGTGGTGGTGGGGAGGGCCGGGCCGGAGAGACGGAGCCAGCTGAGCTCTGGGCGGGGGAGGCCACAAACCTGGGGGGTGGAGGGGGGGGGGGGGTGGGGGGGGGGGGGTGGGGGGGGGGTGGGGTGAGTGGGGGGGGGGAGTGGGGGGTGGGGGTGAGTGGGGTGAGTGGGGGGGGGTGAGTGGGGGGAAGAGTGGGGGGGTGAGTGGGGGGGGAGTGGGGGGAAGAGTGGGGGGGTGAGTGGGGGGGGGTGGTGGGGGGAAGAGTGGGGGAGTGAGTGGGGGGGGGAGTGGGGGGGGTGAGTGGGGGGGGGTGAGTGGGGGGTGAGTTGGGGGGGGGGAGTGGGGGGGTGAGTGGGGGGGGGTGGTGGGGGGTGAGTGGGGGGGGGTGGTGGGGGGTGAGTGGGGGGGGGTGGTGGGGGGGTGAGTGGGGGGGGGAGTGGGGGGGTGAGTGGGGGGGGGGTGAGTGGGGGGTGAGTGGGAGGGGAGAGTGAGTGAGTGAGTGGGGGGTGAGTGGGTGAGTGAGTGAGTGAGTGGGTGAGTGAGTGAGTGGGTGGGTGAGTGAGTAGGTGAGTGGGTGAGTGGGTGAGTGAGTGAGTGAGTAGGTGAGTGGGTGAGTGAGTGAGTGGGTGAGTGAGTGAGTGGGTGGGTGAGTGAGTAGGTGAGTGAGTGAGTGGGTGAGTGAGTGAGTGAGCGAGCGAGCGGGTGGATGAGTGAGTGAGTGAGTGGGTGAGTGAGTGGGTGAGTGAGCGAGTGAGTGAGCGAGTGAGTGGGTGAGTGTTTGAGTGGGTGAGTGAGTGAGTAAGTGGGTGAGTGAGTGAGTGAGTGAGTGGGTGAGTGAGTGAGTGAGTGGGCGAGCGAGTGGGTGGGGAGTGAGTGGATGAGTGGGTGAGTGAGTGAGTGGGTGGGTGAGTGAGTGAGTGGGTGGGTGAGTGAGTAGGTGAGTGGGTGAGTGGGTGAGTGAGTGAGTGAGTGGGTGAGTGAGTGAGTGAGTGAGTGGGTGAGTGAGTGAGTGGGTGGGTGAGTGAGTAGGTGAGTGAGTGAGTGGGTGAGTGAGTGAGTGAGCGAGCGAGCGGGTGGGTGAGTGAGTGAGTGAGTGGGTGAGTGAGTGGGTGAGTGAGCGAGTGAGTGAGCGAGTGAGTGGGTGAGTGTTTGAGTGGGTGAGTGAGTGAGTAAGTGGGTGAGTGAGTGAGTGAGCGAGTGGGTGAGTGAGTGAGTGAGTGGGCGAGCGAGTGGGTGGGTGGGTGAGTGAGTGAGTGGGTGAGTGGGTGAGTGAGTGAGTGGGTGGGTGAGTGAGTGAGTGAGTGGGTGAGTGAGTGGGTGAGTGGGTGAGTGGGTGAGTGAGTGAGTGAGTAGGTGAGTGGGTGAGTGAGTGAGTGGGTGAGTGAGTGAGTGGGTGGGTGAGTGAGTAGGTGAGTGAGTGAGTGGGTGAGTGAGTGAGTGAGCGAGCGAGCGGGTGGGTGAGTGAGTGAGTGAGTGGGTGAGTGAGTGTGTGAGTGAGCGAGTGAGTGAGCGAGTGAGTGGGTGAGTGTTTGAGTGGGTGAGTGAGTGAGTAAGTGGGTGAGTGAGTGAGTGAGCGAGTGGGTGAGTGAGTGAGTGAGTGGGCGAGCGAGTGGGTGGGTGGGTGAGTGAGTGAGTGGATGAGTGGGTGAGTGAGTGAGTGGGTGGGTGAGTGAGTGAGTGGGTGGGTGAGTGAGTAGGTGAGTGGGTGAGTGGGTGAGTGAGTGAGTGAGTAGGTGAGTGGGTGAGTGAGTGAGTGGGTGGGTGAGTGAGTGGGTGGGTGAGTGAGTGGGTGAGTGAGTGAGTGGGTGAGTGAGTGAGTGAGCGAGCGAGCGGGTGGGTGAGTGAGTGAGTGAGTGGGTGAGTGAGTGGGTGAGTGAGCGAGTGAGTGAGCGAGTGAGTGGGTGAGTGTTTGAGTGGGTGAGTGAGTGAGTAAGTGGGTGAGTGAGTGAGTGAGCGAGTGAGTGGGTGAGTGGGTGAGTGAGTGAGTGGGTGAGTGAGTGAGCGAGTGGGTGAGTGAGTGAGTGGGTGGGTGAGTGAGTGAGTGGGTGAGTGAGTGAGCGAGTGAGTGGGTGAGTGAGTGAGTGGGTGAGTGGGTGAGTGAGTGAGTGGGTGAGTGAGCGAGTGAGTGGGTGAGTGTCTACTCACCCTCACATCCATGCGTGCCACTGTGCCCTCTGTGGCGGTGAGTGTGTTGGTGGGTGAGTGAGTGAGTGAGTGGGTGAGTGAGTGAGTGGGTGAGTGAGTGAGTGAGTGGGTGAGTGAGTGAGCGAGCGAGTGAGTGGGTGAGTGAGTGAGTGAGCGAGTGAGTGGGTGAGTGGGTGAGTGAGTGAGTGGGTGAGTGAGTGAGCGAGTGGGTGAGTGAGTGAGTGGGTGGGTGAGTGAGTGAGCGAGTGAGTGGGTGAGTGGGTGAGTGAGTGAGTGAGCGAGTGAGTGAGTGGGTGAGTGAGTGAGCGAGTGAGTGGGTGAGTGAGTGGGTGAGTGTCTACTCACCCTCACATCCATGCGTGCCACTGTGCCCTCTGTGGCGGTGAGTGTGTCGGTGGGTGAGTGAGTGAGTGAGTGGGTGAGTGAGTGAGTGAGTGGGTGAGTGAGTGAGTGAGTGAGTGGGTGAGTGAGTGGGTGAGTGAGTGAGCGAGCGAGTGAGTGGGTGAGTGAGTGAGTGAGTGGGTGAGTGAGTGGGTGAGTGAGTGAGTGAGTGGGTGAGTGAGTGAGTGAGTGAGCGAGTGAGTGAGTGGGTGAGTGAGTGAGCGAGTGAGTGAGTGGGTGAGTGAGTGAGTGGGTGAGTGAGTGAGTGAGTGGGTGAGTGGGTGAGTGTCTACTCACCCTCACATCCATGCGTGCCACTGTGCCCTCTGTGGCGGTGAGTGTGTTGGTGGGTGAGGGTCTCTGCGTGAAGGCTGGAGGGAAAAACTTCGATTCCTGCTGCTCCTCACCACGAATAGAGCCCCTGCATCCTCACCAAGATCACTCACCCACTCAGTCACTCACCCACTCACTCACCCACTCAGTCACTCACTCAGTCACTCACTCACCCACTCAGTCACTCACCCACTCAGTCACTCACTCAGTCACTCACTCACCCACTCAGTCACTCACCCACTCACTCACCCACTCAGTCACTCACTCAGTCACTCACTCACCCACTCAGTCACTCACCCACTCAGTCACTCACTCAGTCACTCACTCAGTCACTCACCCACTCAGTCACTCACTCAGTCACTCACTCAGTCACTCACCCACTCAGTCACTCACTCAGTCACTCACCCACTCACTCACCCACTCAGTCACTCACTCACCCACTCAGTCACCCACTCAGTCACTCACTCACCCACTCAGTCACCCACTCAGTCACTCACTCACTCACACAGTCACTCACCCACTCAGTCACTCACTCAGTCACCCACTCAGTCACTCACTCACTCACACAGTCACTCACCCACTCAGTCACTCACTCAGTCACTCACTCACCCACTCAGTCACTCACTCAGTCACTCACTCAGTCACTCACCCACTCACCCACTCACCCACTCACCCACTCAGTCACTCACCCACTCAGTCACTCACTCAGTCACTCACCCACTCAGTCACTCACCCACTCAGTCACTCACTCAGTCACTCACCCACTCAGTCACTCACTCAGTCACTCACTCACTCACCCACTCAGTCACTCACTCAGTCACTCACTCACCCACTCAGTCACTCACCCACTCAGTCACTCACTCAGTCACTCACTCACCCACTCAGTCACTCACCCACTCAGTCACTCACTCAGTCACTCACTCACCCACTCACTCACCCACTCACCCACTCACTCACTCACTCAGTCACTCACTCACCCACTCAGTCACCCACTCAGTCACTCACTCACTCACTCACTCACTCACTCAGTCACTCAC